ATAACAATAATATTTATGTATTTGTCATGAAAATAACAATTCTTCCATTCAGTTTAATTTTACAATAAAGTATTTCTCAAAGTTCCAACGAGATTGGTTTAACACTTTCTTCACAGTAAATTCCCAAAAATTCGTTCATTATTACCTGTTCACATCCACCCCCTTAATATTTTTAAGGCGTCACAATATCGTGCCCGTCGACGTTACCTTGTAGATGAACGCGTCGCGGGCAATATTTCCGTCGAGGATCCCGTCCAGATTGTCGATCCTAAGCAGACTTATGGGCCGTTGCTTGCCGCGCCTCATTATTCGCATGGTCGCGAACGACCCCTCTTGACGTTCGATGATTAAATTTTCGACTGATTTGCACGGAGCGGTTTCGTGTCGGCGGTTCGCGAAACTGGCCGACCAACGCGAAATTGCGATCAACACCACTGGGAAACGGTGCATATTATCACGATGTCGAGATACTTTTCGATAAGTGCCCCCTCCACCCCCAACGACAACTGGCGGTCCGTGGATCCGCACGCGAACGAGATCCTTTCGTGGATATCTGCGGCTGCCGCGACAACGTTATCTGATCGCGATCGCCTCGATCTGGCCGCAACTGCGCATCGTGATCGGTAGAGATGGGCAAGCTAATTATCTAGATAAAGAGTTTCGAATAACGAATAAAAGATAAAAAAATAATTCGTCATTTTTCACCCTTTGCACTCCGACAAATGTATGTAGAAGCAACATTGTATTTTTATACATTTAAAAATTAAAATATTCTTCACTTTTCCATGGGGGCTTCTATTGTTACATTGCATGTTTAATTATGTGTTAAAATTAAATAGTCCTGGAGTAGCTGGTTGCTCATAGTAAAAATGAAGAATCGCTTTTCCTATATGTACAGTTTGACAATTAAAAGTTAAGTAGTGGTTTTTAAATATTTTTAGAACACCTAAACTTTGTATATTCGCAACACACAAAAACCTTCTAGCAAAGTATTGAAGGTCTAGGATGGCTCAAAGTCCTCTTAAAAATCGATCCTCCCGCGCCAGCAAAAGCTGGTGCGTGTGGGACGCAACTGGTTCAACGGTTTTTCGAATCGCGAATCTGTTTCATCCAGCCACGGTGAACGAAAATACACACGTGACACCCTCGAAAGACACACGTTCCTCCCTTTTGAACTCCAACGATTTATAATATGTTTACACAAACGATAGATCCCAGGGTTTTATTTAAAGATCTTTTTCATCTCTTTCTCCCTCTCTCTCTTCTAATCCGAATTCTATTTTTTCCTGACAGACTTGGTTCCCCGTCATTTTATTCCAGATGAACGTAACTTAACATCTCAAAGATCAAAGGCATGAAAAACAGAGGGACAATGAGTAACACGAAAATACAGGTGAATATCCCAAGACCACAATTCTGTTTTTATCTTGTGTATTCTTATCTTTTATTGTTAATTTTCTATATTCTTGTGATAGTCCTTTCTCTGTTTTTATTTTCCACACCGTTATCCATTATGTTGCCGATAATCACGCATTTCTTTCTACATAATCGTAACTTTCTGTATATTCTAGTAAACTTGTAAATTTTTTCCTCCTTTTCATTCTTCAGTTGTGTAATTCTATATATAATCCTGTAGAGCTTTCGTTAAATTTTTTCAAACTCTCCGTAACTAAACATTTTTTTTTATACTTGTATATTATATCAAAAGCTTCCATAACCCATTTACAATTAAATATTATTATTATCATCCAAGTAAAATACACTGACCCAATTTCTAAGTCGCGGATACACGACGATGCTGGTAGCAAACGCGTTCAAAGATAATCATACACAGAGCTATTTGACGCCATTAATAAAAAAAACTTACACAGAGCTACGGAAAAAACTACAATGAACGTTTTTTTTCCTGATTATTAAATCGTGTGTCACTCTTGTGTGGACGATATATACAATACGAATTCACTGTACGAAACCGCGCGCGCTCGCTCGCGGCCACTAGACAGTACGACACAATATCAGCCAGTCGCCGCTCCTGTATACACTCGAGAGAGTCGACTGACAGTGACTGACCCGGCTGAATCCTCTAGAAACCGTTGAAACCCGACGAACGTATAGGAGGCCGCTGGCACACCGCTGTAGGCGATCTTTTACCGGCCGATCGGTCACCACTTCGAGGGTCTTTAAATTAAATATTAGAGACACTGGCAGTAATTGGGACATTTACCCTAGTCTTCGTGTATACATATACGTCTGTTCAGCTTTATTGCGACAAGGGATGGGAGGACATCCCCCAGGACTTGGGAAAGCACCGAGACCCATACAGGTGCAATGAATCACGATTATTATACTGATAGAAACGTGTGTATCGGTGAAACAAGGAATTGATTCTGAATCGAGCCAAATAAGGGGTATCGAGAAATGGGCGAATTTGTTTATATCTTGACGAGATGTGTCGGATAACCAGGGGTAAAGATAAAAAAAGTTTATCGAACAAAGATAAGGACGACTTAATCGTGGAATGGCCATTGTATATTTTGTTAGAGGATTGTGGCCGTCACCTGTTGTACACGTGTAGAATACCAGGAGTGTAAGTAACTACCCTTACGGACAGAGTTCCTGATCACATCTAGAAAAATTAACCAAAAAAGATTCGTTGTTATTCTAGTAAATCTATGTCTTATATTTAATTCGGTGATAATAGAACTGTGAGCTTATCGAATTTTACATACAAATTTCAATACAGTTACTAATTAGTTAGTCGTTTTTAAAAATAAATATTTATCGTAACAAACTTATTACATGGTATCTATATAACAAACTGATCAGGAACTGAGTCCGTAACACGGTACGGATGTGTAAATTGTTTGTCAATAATTATCTATGGTGAACAATGTCAAGTAAACATCGTATGAATATTGTTTAAGTCATAAAACAACTTGATGATTCAACCGAGTAGGAAACTTCCTCTTTCTTTTAGCATCCTTTGAATTAGAATTTGATAGACTGTACAGTGGATTCCGGTTATTTATGGACACGTCATGCGATATCACACATCATATAGAAGTATCATAGAACATTCTCTTAGGTTTTGTTCTTTGAACTTTGTCCCGAATAAACGTTTGCCACGAATCAACCCGTTGGCTCAAATACAGCAGAATCCACTGTATTACCCTTCTACAGAGTCCTGTTACTTAATCCTCCTGCATACATAAGTTCCCTGGCCAATTATAACGAACTAGACCGTTTCGAATCCGTAGCTTAACGGCGTCGGTCTCCATTCGTTCCTGGATCCCAGGCCAAATTCGCCTAGCCAGTACCCGCTAGATTCCTATCTGTGGCGTACGCGCGCGAATCCGGTTTCCGATCTCGACAGCTACGCGGGGCAGCTCGGTAAAGAGGAAAGTGGCGACCAGTGACGTCAGGCAATTGTGGAATTTACGACGGTGTTTGCGTGCCGCGGTTCCGGCCAGGTGGATAGTCCCTGGCTACGTCATAGTCGGCACTATCGAAACGTCGTTGTTCTTTCGATCTGGGAGACAAAAGTAAATGATAGAAAAAAGAAAAAAAAAAAATCACTCCTTCGGTTTCTTTGATCTCCTATGTCTTTAGGAACTCCGAATTCCCTGGAGCTCTTTTGGCGGACAACAAACGTTTGGAATTTGAAGCGTAGGAAATTCTGAAACAGAACCCAGTTGGTACTCTTAATGCCCGATTTTTGTGGACGACAATGTTTGGAATTTGAAGCACACGATGATTTTGAAACGAAACCAGATGGTACTCCGAATTTCCTGGAGCACTTTTTGCAGACAAAGTTCAGAATGTGGTGCGTACCAGTTTCCTGAAACAAACCAGTCCCTATAGCGAGTTCTCTGGAACTCTTTTGCGAACAAAAAACTCCGAATTCGAAGCGGACAGGATGATGTACGGAAAGGAACAGCCAGCCCGATATGGAACAGTTTGCGACACTAATGGAAAAACATCATTGATTCAGCGAGAAGCGTGTTTCACGAGCCATGGACGTCACCGGAACCCACGCGAAGAATGCACAAAGCGAGAGAGCGTGCATATGCGCGCCACACGGGTTTGTAAACACATTCGATCCTGTCCGTGCGAAGAATGAGTATGCAGATAGGACGGGGGTACGTTCGTTCGTACGTACAATACGTACAAAGAAAAGACATGCATAACAGATTCCCTCGTGCCGTTTGGTTTGTCGAGCGGGTCTCGTTGGAAAAGGAACCAATCGGTGTTGCCCCACCTCGGTTCCTCGTGTATAAGTACGTATCTTCCTTGAATCAGAGAGGGGGGGGATTTCGTAGGACTATTGCGTACAAATATCGTTTTCTTTCACTAGTTGGCGAAACGTTTTCGAATGATTAAAAATAGAAGGTCGGCAAACGTAAACATCGTAGATAAAGCTGAAATGCGTACGTGCGACCGCGCTGTCTCGTTAACAGTTTTCATTAAGTGTGCCCCTAAATACCGACGCAAATTCCGTATTCGTTGCGTATGAACAAGTATGTTTTGTTCGCGAACTGGAGCGCAAACCGGTGACGTTGCGTAAGATAAATTAACCACGTGTTCAGGCGTCGACTGCGACCAACAACGAACGTGTTGGTGGTTTGTGCGTCGCGCTAAACATAGCACTTTGCCTTCGGTGTAACATTGAAATATTTATACACCTGGAATGGAAGTACATACGTCAGAGAACGCCGGACAACCGGGCCCGTTCAATGGATTTATGTAAATTTTATTTATCCGTCGCGCGCCTCTTTTTTTCTTTACAGTCTGTTTTTCCCTTAAAATAGCTCTACTTTAAAGAATAAAGGGAAATCAGTGAAACTGAAAATCGTAGCTGAGGTAAACTCCTGGATAGTCGTGGCGAGATTTATTCTCTCCGTGTTTTCTTTCGCTTTTTTTGGTTTTGTTTCGTATGATCTTTCTCCCCTTGGTTTTTTATCTAAACGACGAAAGATACAATTGTTAATCGTTACACTTACTCTAGGCTTTGACTGCCGATGATCGATCACTTCCGATTCGTCGCCGCTGAGGCTGGAGGTTGAACAGTCGGATATCTTTCGTCCGGGTGGAATGTCCAGAAATTCAACCTTTGCCTTTTCTTGCAATTCTTGAGAGTCTTCTTGGGTGTACCGCAGTAGCTGAGAGTCTAGCTTGGTGTAGTAGGAATTAGTGGTGTCCAGACAGGAGTTCCGTCTGTTCCCGGTTTCACAGAAGTTTCTGAAGAAATTTTTCAATAAGCAGGTAATATACGGGCCAATACAACGTGTTCAGTTGACAGAATTAAAAGATAAATACCTTGTACCACTGGTATTCATAGAATCAAGGCACAAGCAACAGGAGTCCGAGTGTCTCCTGCTGTGACAAACTCTGGGGAACTGGTTGTCCAGTGACTCCCGAATGTCATCACAGTCCAAGCAGGAGCAGCTACTCGTCTGGCTTGGAGTTCCACTGGTTCCTTCATACTTCTCAAGCTCTAAATCATTTCTTTCGAGCTTCTCATCCAGATACGAATAATCCGAGTAATCACTGACAACCACGCTTGGTGTTCTCCAATATCTAGGCCTCCCTTCATTCTGCTCAGTTTCATTTCCCTCGACTGCATTCGTGCTATCCCATCCTGAAAGCATTGATTCTGTTACAGTTGTCACCTGTACACGAATCAGCAGTGTCTTGTCAAAGGACATGAAACAATAAAGTAGAAAATCCTGTTGTTTTCAATGTAAATGAGACTAGATTACACTGTTACCAGACCTAAGAATACGTCAAGAAGAAATCCAGTCTTGGACTAAAAATAAACTCCACAGATGGCCTTAAATAAAAGAACAAAACATTAGACTTTTAAAAATCAACAAATTATTCAGAAATACTGATGTGAACGTCCCGTAACGTACTTCCATGGTACTCGATATGCATGTTTGTTTTTTTTTACACAGTACCCGGTCAAGTTGAATCGCGAGAAGAGAGAAACATTATATACCAATATCAAGCAAAACAACACTGGATTCGTAAACCGGACGAAAAGAAGATGAATGAAAAAAAAGGGACATCAAGAACGATGATGTCAGCGACACACAGCACGCGTGGGTCAGGGAAACGTGTTTTGAACAGAGTATTCCCCCCACCCCGCGGACAAAAGGAACCGGTGTGTGCGTGTGTGGTGTGTCTCTGCCCTGTGTATGTCACGACCAATATTCCCATCCATCCCCTCACCTTTTATTTGATCCTCGTCGCTCAAGACCGCGCTGTCGTAGCTGCAACATCTAGTGACCCGTAGTTTGTGCCGTTTCAGCTGGTGCGTGGTGGTCAGCGACGCGTCCTCGTCGCTCGCCGCCGCGGAATCGAGGCTCCAACAACGCGCTACAGAGCCCCTCCTTCGTTCCGGATCCGCCTCGATACCCTCGTCGCTCTGCGGACTTTTGCTAAGGGATCTGACCACCGGCATCCTGACCGTGTCGAACTCGTCGTATGTCTCGTTCGCCTCGATCGGATCAACGACCGTGGTTGACGTCGTCGTTGTCGTCTCCTCCTCGGTGTTCTGTTGCTTCTTCGACCTCATCGTTGACCCGACCTCGTCGCCGGCGGGCTCTCTATCACCGAGGAGCCGTTCGAGGCCGTCCACCAACTCGCATACCGACGAGCCACCCTCGCACTCGGCGACGTACTGATTCTCCACGATACCGACGCGACGTTTCCGCGAGATACGACCGGCCGAGGACCGTTCCTCAACGTTCTGGCTTATTCGTGACGATGATTCCACCGCCCCGACCGGATTCGACGACTCCGGCTGCTCGTCGTGACCTAAGCGCAACAGCTGCTTCGACTGTAGCCGCCGTCTCAAGACCGTGTAACCCTCGTCATCGCGTCGACCGCGTTTCCGAGAGGATTTCCATCGTCCTCGGGACACTAGGTCGGTAAACGTTCGATTTGAAATACGGGAGACGCATCGCGCACCGTGCCCGAACCAATCGCGACCGCGGCGGCGTCGACGCTGATAGAACGAGCGGCCATATTGAATTCCGTAGAGCACGCGGTAGCTAGATGGGATACGTATGCCGATGATCTGACCCGGTTTCACCGGTCGGACACGAGTCGATTTCGATGGTATCTTATCACTGCTGTCCGAGGTATCGTCATCGTATTTTTTGCTTTTCTTCTCGTTCGTCGGACGTTCGGCGGCCGTTAAACCTACACGGTCTTCGTCGGGTGTCGCGTTGACGTTCCTCGAGAAATTTACCCTCTTCTGGATCGTGTTCTTTCTCGTATCGTCCTCGATGGTGTTGTTTCGCGGTCGATTCGCGCTAACGGCGTCGTTCGATAGAGACGTTCGGCTGAAACGAAAGAAATCGTGATATCGAGATTCGAATTTATTCAGCCGGTACGCCGCAACATTATGCCTGTACGTTCGCAATCACGTCCCACTTTGGAAATACGCGATAGCCTTTGAGACACGTTCGAAAACAATTTGTATTCCGAATACAAATGACTGGCCAGATATGGAATCAAAACAATACTAGGTATACGTAACTTCTTTTTTTTCACGAGCACGTTGACAGTTCGTAGACAAGAAAAATGATTTCTTTTCTTGTTCGGTATAGTTTATTTGACCTCGCGTGAACGTTAAAAAAAAAAAAGTACTCATTCAACAACGAATTGGCTTTATGGCAATAGTATGGTATGCCGTGCGGCATAAATTTTTCTAATCCAATGCCGTCATTACGTGCTCTTATCTAATCTCGAAGTTATACCATGTACACTCCTCTCTGTTCCCCATATTAAACATTTACGATGTGTATTCTATTTTCATCTTTTGTTTTCTTCGCGAAATAATCCGAATTGATAGCTAGGAGACGATAACAGAGTAATACTAAGGCGATTTGCAGAGAACTTTGAACAATTTCACATATTTGTAGGTAGTTGTTTCTCATACGACGTCAACTTTCGTGCCACCGAACGATCGAAAAATATCTGTATTTTGATAGAGCCACGTATATGCTTGGGCTTGAACTTTTTCGGTCGAAAAAAAGTTGTTGTTTCTCGCGAAATCTACGGTTCAAGCGAGAGTCAAGGACCGAGTATCCGGGTCGAAGAAATGCGGAGGGAAAGATGCGTGGAAGGTATGCCAGGGTTGCTTCTTGCTCCTTCGATTGACGTCACAAGTGCGTCATTGGAGGCAAAGAAACAAGAAAGTGCGATTGAATGATCGCGCGGCGGTTACAGCGATCGCGTACCACAGCTCTCGTGTATCGTTGTTTCTTTCTCTATCTCGACAATCGGTCCATTATCTCGTCAGTTCAAGTGCCCCTTGGCCACTTGAGCCTATCTGTGCTGCGAGCGTTCGGTCGGTCGTTCGGCGGCTGTTTCATTGTACGAAATAGCCGTGCGCTGCAACGAGCGGAATTATAAGGTCTCCTTTATTTTTTTTTTTTTTTTTGTAGCTTTTTATATCGCCCACGCAACGCTTTCCATTGGCGGGAGACCGTTCCCGATTGCACTCGACGCAACATTGCGACAACACAGAGATAAGATTGCGAAACAGGACGCCTGTTGTCGTTTTTATAACCAGGAAACTAGTCGTAACGCACAAATAGAACGTCGTCTACGAGAATTCGACAAAAGTCTACGACAGGGGTTCCCAATTCACAACCACTGGGGTTATCCTTTTGATTGTCGAGCGATTTATGCGGAGGTCGATTGGAGGTCGATTGATAAATAAAATCTCGTGTTTACGAGTATGTACATAATTTATGAATTTTACTTCCCTTTTTATTTCAGATTTATGTCTATTCCGAAAAAAAATGACAGGACAGTTGAGCACTCCCGGTACTACAGGCGACGTTGTTGAAAACGATCATTTCGAAACGTTTTATCAGCGTATCGTGAATTTCACAAAAGGGAAATAAGAATATTGGTAAACGTACGCGAATCTATATTCGGAAAGAGATCGGATTACCTTTCACTTTTGTCCTATAGGTTTTCGGCCAAGAGAGGAAATCTGTAAACAGTGTAGAACGATTTCACGGCCTTTCTATTTGGGAATTCAAAGATGATCCGCGCGAAGGAAGGCTAGACGAGGCTGTATAGCCAGGCTCATATTTGTGACGAAATCGGGTCAATGTCGGCCCAAGGCTAATGACTCGTTCGTGTTCCAGATAAGTAATAACAAATTGTGTACAATTACATTAAACATTAGGTGGGCGTTGTTTCGTAAATGATTTGAAAAAAAAAATGTTTGAAATGCTGTTACTTTAAACAGCTCCTGTGGGAACACGAGCTTCGAATTTTCGAAGGAACGTTTCAGACACAAGGGTTTTTCAATTTTATTTTAATGACATGGAAAAGAGTTTCATAGAAATGTGTATTTGTCAGTACATTGCGTATCGTTAGAAATTCAGTGTTATTAATGTGTATAGAGTATAAAGCAGAAATGATAGATTTTTGATTTTACGTTACATCTCTTACCTTTCCATCCCGATGTTGTATTCTGCATTTTATTCGGAACCGATAACATGAAATCGATTTCGAACAATTATCAAATTAGGGATTCGAGAGTATACGAATGTTTGGAAAAAAAAACGGTTACAATTTCTCGTTGTTAACAAGTACAGCACGTTTACGACGCGAAACGATTCGATTCTTGTATTTGGAATTCAAGGAATTCAACCGGACGTCCTCGCCGCTCATTATTGCTCGCAATCTCCACGGGTGTTAATTTTCGATCGTGGTAACTGAAAGGAGCAATGTGTGCGATGATTGTACGTCAATCGTAGCTGATGGCTGACTGAACTCGAGATTTGAACTTGACCACTCCGCGGTGACCACCTATACACGAGTTCCTGTGTAAAAGGAGGGGATCGATTGCATTGAAATTGTCCCTCCTAAAAGGGAAGGTTTCCACCTACGATTGACGTAAAACTTATAATTCCGATGTCACAGGTGTTCCGCTACGTTTTATCCGATACCACAATGGTATTATTTCGTTTCGCCATACGACCATGGAAATTTGCTACACTGTGATAGTGAAGTTATAAAGAATGTGTTTTTCGAAATAGAATATGAAGGATATTTATATCTTTTGAATTTTTTTTATTGTAAAAAAGTATCTTCCCTTGTAATGTTTACTAACAGACTTCATAGAAATTAATTTCTGAATGTTCATCAGAATCAAACGTTAGAGATCCGAATACTTGAGGACCCTTTGTAATTCTGTCTGATTTAAAGGGTTTTATCCAATTCTTCATCAATATTCCTGTTTTCAAATTCATTAGAGTTGTTTCAATAGCTGGTCTAGTGACTAGAATTGTTCCTCTTTGAATGTTGGCTTTTAAGAATTTCCATATTTCTGTATGCACAGATTCTGGAACATAAAACTCAAATGGATTGTTCATGATAATAACATTGCTACTTTGTACAATATCTGGACATTCCTCAATTCTTTTGTTTACTATTTCTATACGATCATTCATCTTATATTTATGTATCATGTCAGACTGTAATGTGCAAAGATCCTTATTCATTTCAACCCCAATAATTTTCTGGGCTGATGAAAATATATGTGCCTGCAAATGTATTATCGAGTAACTATGTATATTTACCAGTAAGGTTGATATGCTAAAGTGATGTAAAATGAAACATAATTTACCCCGTACAAAACAGCACCCAATCTAGATCCAACATCAAGTACAGTTTTTCCTTCTAAAGGCGGTAAAATATTATGGAATACATATATCATAGCAGACACTGACATAGAATGCGATATGATATCTAGAACAAAATTTAAATTGTCTTCATTAAGTAGTTACGGAATTAAGGAATGAAGCTTGGTAAACATCATCTTACTATATTCTTTCACATTTGTAGATCTACAATCAGCACAATATAGATTGTCCAATTTTCCTTCATCTATGAGTTCATCAACTTCTTTATTGTCATAGAGAAATGCATCTATATGCTTTGTTGATATATCATCACAATCTGAATTCTGAAGAGTTATTGAACCAGTAATATTTTCTCTTTCTGATAACAGCTGAAAAGCCAAATGCACATTGTAATTCTACATAACATCAGATAACAGACCTCTCCAATTGTGGGTGGCACAATGTGTTCTGATGGAAGTATTCCATTAAATGGTACTCTGTTTTTGATGTCAATAACAATTTGCTTTATGTTTCTTAACTGTTCTTCTTGTGTGTTATTTCCATTCTGGCAACCATCTACAAAATTATTTTCACAAGTTTAGTTTTTTATCTTAGTACATGTTATGCAATTTTCTATGACATATACCTCTAAAATTTCGTGGCGTTGATTGAATTTTTACTTTTTCAGGCTCCCAATTGTCAGCAATAAATGATAAAAAAATTTGTTGATCAGCTTCATTCAAGGAGCAAATAGTATCCGTGAAAACTCTTATGGCATTAGTGACGGACGTCGTATCGGTTTTATCATCCGAAGTCATTTTTTAATTTATGTCCTTTGAAAAATACAAAGCTTAACTTAATCCTATGTAATATTTTATTAAACACGTGTACTACTGTACCCGTCAGTCAAAATAGTTGACCACTATTGTATAAATATATGCATTCTGATATTCTAAGAGTCGCACGCAAAAGTAAAAGTAAAGTTTTGTCTGATATCGTGATATGCAATGGTTTATATTGCATAAAAATAATTGTTCAAATTTTCTATATCAATAATGTGTAGTAACAATAATTGATTGTAGCGTATTTAATAAACAATTACTTTGTTATGTAAAGATGCATATGATCGCAATAACATGTAGTGCTATCTACAACAAAACGTCCAAGCTACTAGCTAATTACTACACGTGCTTGTCGCTAGATGGAGCCATTAGGCATTTATTTTATAAAAGAATTCAATTGAGAATTGTTTATGTATTTTTTCAATTCAAGAGGATTGACCACGCAATCTCACACTATTAGATAAATTATTGAATTGCGATTAGTGTTTATTTGCGATAATTATTTAAATTTAAAAAAGATTACCAATTTAATTGACGGAATCTTTCTGATATGTTTATTAAAAAAAAATTAAGTACATAAAATGTTGATATACGTACATAGGTGTATATAAATAATTAATCTTAACATTATTTGTAGAGGCAAGATGTAAGGCACGTATGATCCTGCATAAAATCTGAACCATCCTAATATATACAAAATTTTTTCCTGCTTTCGTTCGCAAAGCGTTCTCTCGGCAACTGTAAATCACCGCAATTGATTTTAGAAAGTACGAAAGATTTAAATATTTAACTTTACGTTAAAAGTACGCGTGTATATATATATGTAAAATTTTACAAATACTTATTTACAAACTTGTTCGTTTTCTCGTTCTCTGATATCGAAATTCCTACCAACAAATCGTAGGATGTTCATACTTTTTTTGAATTTTTATTCGCGCGAGTCCATCGTAAAGCTTGATTACCGTCAGGAATACAGTAACAATCACTAAACGTTTATTGCATCTAACTCGAAACTAAAAGAAATACTGTTATTACAAGTTAACTTCGTAGTATTACGTAACATATACTATTAGCAATGTATATACTAGGGATTCGTGTAAGATTCATTCTAACATAGTAGTAGTTTCATCAAGATCGAGCTGCCAATTGTGTTCGCCCATAGTAAGACGAAAATTCAAGACACGTAATGTCAAGTCAGTGAGTAATCGAAAGTTTCGATATCATCGATAACACTAAAAACGTACGTACAATTATAAAATACATAGCACAGCTACCTTCCTTATCAGGCACAATTTCACTCGACGTAACTACTAATAATTCGCGTATTTACAAAAAGTTCGTGGACGCTAGTTAATTTAAATTAGGAAACATAGATAACTTTAAAAGCTGCCTGGTGTATAATTAAAATATATATTTAAAAAAAAACCTACGCGTATCTTTTCCGAAAATGAAAAAAAAAAAATCGAAAATTGATTCAGTTCCGTGACCGACCGTGCGATTCGCGAAGTATCTATGCGCGCGTAAGCTTGCTTAAAATTAAATTCACTGATTGTTGTCGACCAGAAAGTGCGTACAGACGGAGAGATTGAAGAAGAAAAATATTCGTCGAACAGGTACATTAATAATTTCAACGTACACACTTTACGGTCGAACACCGGTTCCCTTATTCTACGTTGAGCTTTAAAAAGGATATCATGCGCAAAAGAAAGGCCTAGACTCGAATAAGAATACAATTACCGAACTAACGTGCGTCGTCAAGTAATTAATTCAAGTATTTGAGCACACCTACTATGACACCCTGTAAATGTCTTGTAACGGTTTGTTCGTTGGACTCAATGATAATTAAAATCTATAAAGTTCGAAAGTCTCACTAAAAGAAGCATCGTCGTCGCTTCGCTTAATACAGCAAGGATAAAATCTGTTTCGTTTCGTTGGAACGATTGAAATTAATCCTGGTTACGAAAAACTAGATGTTGTTCACAGAGGTTGTTCGATAGGCAGTGATCCTTGGAGCAGAGTTGGCTCAGTATATGACGTGTTCACGTCAGTTCCAGCTGTGTCACTGTTGTTATGGTTGTTGCTGTTGTTGTTTTGCCCGTTTAGAAACGAGGCCATTTCCATCGGCGATTGTTGTCCGCTCTGTTTAGAAACATGCGTGTTCGTTCGCTTCTTTCAGATCAGCTCGGAAGAGAGCGTGTTTTGAGGGGGGTAACGTACGTGTGTGGTGTTCGGGAATAAAACAAAAGAAAAGCGGCTCCAGAGAATAGTGCAGAGAGCAAGTAGAATTAAAGTAGCAGCACACGAGACCAATGCTAAAGCTAGAAAAAAAAGACTAGTCTCCTTAATATCGAATAGTCTGAAAGCAGAAACACGTTAGTCCAATGTAAATATACAAGATGCAGTCGCGTGCGGATAGTGCGTAGAAAAAAATAAAATAAAATGGAAGTCGCATTTAAAATAGAACGGGGGGGCCGAAGTACCGCAGAGGTGAATGTGCCAAACTTCAAGGCGTACCATTGAAACGCAACGGAATTCGATTACGTCCAACTAGATTCAATTCTACGTATACATATGTATACTAAAACCCTATGAAATTGATCAGACCAGATATTTATTCAGATACTATGATTAAAGAAAAATGTGAGTGAACTGCATTTAACCCAATCAATGAAAATACTGAAAGTCTCTATATACTGTTACTTAATTGAAATCTTTTTTTACATCCACCATATTCCTTTTGTTGAACAAAGATCGAACTCCAAATGTGTTCCAATTCCACAGAACACGCACGCATACACACACACATACACACACAGAACTATACGAATGTTCGCGCAGTACAAACATCGTAGGCGTACAAAATAGACACGTACGCGACTGAGATTGTGTTTACGTTCGCCTAGTGTACTTCTGATTGTAAGAGGAAAATTGAATGACTTCAGACAATGCAAGTATCGTTATGTTTGAATGGAAAAACAGAATTAGTAGTTATTTTCTCGCAGAAAGAAAAATGTTTAGCCGGCAGTCATTCTTTTCCTCTGTGACAGAGTTATTGATATTGCTACTTACAAATACCGACCTTAGGCTGTATTATATCTTCAGGGGTATCGAGACCAGCAAGCGGGTTTGACGTTATATTTATTTTGGAGTCGGTTACACCACCGTTTATTACTCTTCCATTTGTAATTGGTTTGCCTATCACAAACAATAACCTTGTTATTAAATGAAGTCTGTACGATTCTTTCTAAACATCTACGATTAAAAGTTATAGTCACCTTCGCTTTGTGAAGATTCCCGACTCTGCTTGTGTTTGGTTCTTTTATATACTACAGCCACCGCTGTTAAGCCACCCAGTAGAGTCGATCCACCGAGAACACCACCGATTATCGCGTACATGTTCGCGTTTTTATCATCCGCGGGCCTTACTCGACTGTCCAACGTTAGATTGCTACCGTGATCGTTACGATTCTCATTATCATGATGCTCTACCACAAGTTTCTTCGTTTTTTCACGAAGAATTTGCGAGAATTCCGAGGCGGCGTCCACCGAGAAGCTTCGCACCTTGAACTCGTACGTTGTATCCGGTTGTAAATGAGATATGGTTATATTAAAGGAATCCTTTCCTTCGACCGTGGTCTTTACGTAGTCCCCCGCCGAGGTTGATGCCCGATGGTACACATAGAAGCCATCTATCTTCGCCGATTTATCTGGATTCTGCCAAATAAGAAGCACTTCTTGGGGACTCAAAGCTTCCGTGTTCGTTAACAGAGGTATGGGCATTCTGTTGCTCTCGAAACCGCCTTTGTTCAAATGGAAACGAACCGAATTCGGGCTGAGCTTGTTGTCGTTGTTCGAGTAAACCGCGGCGATCCGGAATCTGTACGTATGATCGGGCTGTAAATCCGTCACCTCGAACGAGCTCACGCGATTCGATATCTCAGAATTCGCGGTCATCCACTTCGCTTGCTTGCCGTTCATCTTTTGCCCGAGTTCTCGATACTGAACTTTGAAAAACTGAATCGACAATCCCGTGTTGTTAGGCACGGACCATGTAACCATCGCAGACACATCGGATAGTCTTGTGACGTTCGGTTGATTCGGTGGCACCAGGACAGCTAAAAACACGAAAGATACGTTTAGTAAAATGGAAGGAAGCTGCGCACCACATATCTAATTAGATTGAATAATGTAACAAATTACCGGTGCCCTTTCGCTTTCCCTCTTTGTTTCTTCTCCTTCCACCTCCCCTTGTGTGCTTGTGCCTTGAATTCGGAACTCCGTAGTCTGGCCGCGACTCAGTTGTGCCGATATGTTGCTTCGGGTTCACTCTCAATAAATTATACCCGGAGTCCGAACCGTACTCGTTGCTCGCGGCGCACTGTACATAACCGGCGTGTTTCTTCTCCACTTCCGAGATGACGAGCGTGGCACCTTTGATCTCTAAATTGTCGCCAGGTAGCAAAGATTCTCCGTTAATCAGCCATTCGACTCTCGGATGTGGCTCGCCGGTTACCGTACAAGATAGCTCCAGTTCCCCGCCCTCGGAAAATGTAGACGTTTTCGGCGCTTTCGCCACCTTCGGCGCCTCCATTACTTTCAGTATAATCACAGATTTTATTTGCGCGCCGTTGCTGTTCCACATACAATCGTATTCACCTCTGTCTGCCGGCTGGACATTCGTTATCATCAAGCCTGACGGTATTTTAATCGAGTTTGTTGGTAATCGACTGCCCAGTCTGCTCCACGTGACGTATGGTACCGGATAACCGACGGCGAAGCACTCCAGCGTTACATTTTTGCCGCGCAGAACTTTGTATTCCGTTTGCGGCTGCTTAATGAAGTACGGCGTTTGGACAGCGCGATTCGTGTGCACGTTTAGAATAGTTTTATGATTGCTGGTGAACAGTTGAGTGGTTATATAGTTACTGGCGGTGCAGTGGTAACTTCCGGTGTCCGATACTTTAGCATTTTCGATGACCATGGTTTTCCCGTTTACATTCTGTACGAGATTATTGTCTTTATAGAATTGAATTATGGCCTCGGGAGCCGAGTAAGGGACAGGGCATGTGATCGGTACTGTGTTCCCGGCAGCGACGCGTATCACAACGTCGGTCTTGTCGTTGAACTTCTGTAGCGTGGCAAGCGTTAATCGTGCCGGATCGGATGCTAAACCGCTGGTACCTACGACAACGTATAAAGATCAATAATTATGAATGGTTATTTACACGACTACGTATACTTTGCAGCGTTACAATCCTGTGGGTCCAACAAAACAAAGCAAGAGCGTTTACCGTAGTAAGCGATGCACCGGTAATCACCGGCTTTCGATTCGTTGTCGAAGTTCACCACATGTTTGGACGTTTTGCCACCGTTGCTGGGTGTATGAGCGACTGGCAACCACTTCTCCGAGCCCAACGGTCTATGACGCCAAGCAAACCCATCAGCGGCAAGATTGAGGTTGCATTCAAAGTTCACATCGTCGCCCAGTGGTGCATCCAAAGGTTGAGGATGCCTGGTAAAGGACATGCCTAGCTCTTGCCTCTGTCCTGTTGAACGAAACAGCATCGATAAGAGCAAAATCCATCTGGATCCAAAGAGGATCTTGAATACCATTTTGGTTCGGACACCATTTCAAGCGACAAGGATTGTACAAAGTTACTTACCATGAGCAAAACTGACCATTACATGGAGCAAAGCTGCAACGACTCCACATAGGGACGGCACAGGTTGCATCTTGACACATTCTGCAATCAAGGAAGAGCAAAGTTTGTCACGCGTTACTCGGATATTTCTCGTCTTCGTTTTTCCGACCTGGTTGCCCGGGGGTGGGACGAAAATTCGCGGAGACTCGAGGCGCCAGTAAGAGCCCACTAAAATTAATGCCTGACAAGCGTGTTTAAGTTTAGAACGGTGGAGAGTTCACGTGGAAATAGAACGCATTCTCGTTCTAGTTTTCTTGATACCGTGTCTCTCTCGCCAGTTCGAGACACGCAAAACGTCAACACTCGTAATGGGACCGTTGCATACCGAGCCGGCATATACAACCGGCGAGAAATGTATAATTTATATACTGGGCAAACGCCTCGCATTTTCAAAGTTCCCGCCCGCGCCAATCACACCGCAGGTTAAGGCGATCCTACGGACGCACGATGCGTGGCAAACTACTGTGTTCTCACAACTGCCTTGTACGTAATAATAATTTATCATATAAAATATATTTAAATTTATTGTGTATAATAACGCAAATGGTTCTTTAATTTTTTAATTCGTGGGAAACGTGCTTCGATCCCAAAAAGAACCACAATCTAATTAGTTGGAACTGTAATGGTTTTTTTTTTTTTTTTTTTTTTTTTTAAATAAATAACTTGATCTTTCATTTGTAGCGATCAATTTGACGGCACACCATGACTGCAATGCCTTTATAAACGGAAGTATAGTCGCTGAAAGGAGTAAAAGAATCCTCTCAATTAGTTTCGCGACGTTCGTCGTCGAGAGGACGAATTGAAAACGCATCGAGAAACGAAGAGAGCAAGGCCATCGCGTCGCATTGTGACAAACTCGAGAACGAGCAGAGGTGCCACAATGACAACACGAAAATGACCATATACGGCGACGAAAACCGTCGATCATTGCGCGCACCGCTTTCCACCCACGTGCGGACGCCTGACCAACGCGAGTGACGATCAGAAAACCGTACCGACACGTCGTAGACCGATGGAAATTATTTGTTGGCCAACACATGCGCGATACGTAGGCATATCCATTCATAGGATACACCGTGCTTCTCGCCCACGCAACACTCTGAAACACGGAATTAACGCACACACTTTCTTTTCTCTAGGAAAACATAGTTCTGTGCACTGATGGGACTTCAAGGCATTGTCTTTGAGGTCGAAATAGGTTTCAACGTTCTATTCTATTCTATTACACGGTTGTAATATTGTATTATATTTAAACGAGAGAGAAAGAATTCTATTAGGATAGAATATAATTAGATTTGTAAAATTTTACGAGACTGCCAAGAACTTGATGCTCTATGTAACCCGTTTTGAACCGTTTCGGACCCCATCATTAACTCCGTTATTTTCGTGTATTACATAGAAGTTCATTTCTGACAATTTTTCGATAGATCCAAACACCATTTTCGCTTTATTAATTTTTCCCTTCGCTTTACTTTTTCGCGAGAGAAGTTTTCGTACGATGAGTTTGTCATGACGATGAAATAAATTCAACCCGGGAAGATTCGTCATTGTCGTCGGAAAGAAGCAGAAGGGCATTTTTCATCGCAGTCGAAATCGAGGGGGGGGGACAAAAAGCACACGTTCAGGGCCCGTTCGTGAGGCAGTTTAACGTGTTTTGTGTACGGGAGGACTCTTAACTTCTGGTTAAATGGTAGCATAAATGCCGGTGGTATGTAACAGGTGAGAAGGGCTCCAAAGAGGCTGGTTTCCGACGTTGCCTCTCATAAAAATAAAGAACTCGAATTCCAAAGCAGTGGTTGTCAACCCCCCGTCGCCCCGCGCCCTCGAACGATGCCGAGGCGCACCTAACCTTACGGACGAGCCAATGCCACCCGGGTTACGCACACATACAGACCAGCATTAATCGTAACAGCTGAACGAAAGAGAATTAGATCCATTTCTACAACCTGTCATTACCCAAAGATCAAATTCTTAAATCCTTCTTATGCACGGTGTTCACCTCGTTCATCGATCGAGGATCAAGAGCAAAGTTCCACTTTCACGACCCAATTGTGTTGTTACCAACCAAAATACAGCAAGATCTGGACTGTTCAGAGAAAAGTAACGGCGTGCGAAATCGCGATCAATTTATAATTCGAAACTAAAGTAATCTGTCCGTGTTTTATCTTATGTTTGCATGTGTAAAGAAAGATACAGTGTTCAGTTACGTCCTTAGAAGACGCAAACCAAGGTAAAATGATACTATGCTTTAGATTACTTTCAAACAACATTCATCAATTTCCTAAAAGTCTGGTTTTTCGACATTTGCCGTCATCAATTAATTCACCCAGGGTTTAATAATCTCAAAGCAGAGATTATTTTGATATTAATTTTCACACAGGAGTAACAGTGCAGTGTTCCGTTACACGTGACAAACAGGAACCAGGAAGATCGGATTCCCATTGATCGTGCAGATTCGAGAGAGAAGCGGATCCTTCCTCTTAGCGACCGCCGATTAATCACGTGAACAGTTTTCATTGGTTTCGCATCGTCGTGTTTCGTGTCCGACACAAAACTAACTACGGCGAACGTAATTCTCTTCCTCGGTATGCAAGGAGCAACTGCTTAGGCAAAACGAGCGAAGAATATTTAGCTGTATATGTGTCATACGCTATTTTAATCTGCTTCCCCATAGCTGCCACTTAGATTCCTACTATTAACGTTCCATATTCAGCAAAACCATAATTGTAATACCGGGACTTCCCTTTTGTTTTTAATTAATTAATTATAAATTAAGTTTTCTCTTTTTTTCTCAAGATCACAGTGTTGCAGCAGTAACATACGATTACCGGTTGTTCGCGTTTTGCCGGGAATATGACAACACGATTAGTATTACCGCGTGTACCGCGGAACGGTTTATGAAACTTTAATTAAAAAGCACGTAACATGTATACAGTCACCCAAACGCAGGCGCATTAAGCAGCGCGGTACTATCCGAACGAGGAGTTTGTCAATTGTTAAGATCGGAATAATAAAGTATAACATTTCACTGCTTGTATATTTCCTGACGCTGTACAAATCCACCGGCCGTTCAAATTTCACCGAAAATACTAGTGGCTCACCCCTTCCGGCAGGTGATCTTTCGTCATGACACCATAAGAGATTCTTTTTTGACGATTAACGTTTACGTTGGTACAGCTCTAATTTCAACGCACAATTTTGTGAAACGCGAAATGAAAAAAATGATAAAGATCGTCGGTATCGATGAAGATGAGAAATGTATTCGTGTTAGGGATACACTCACCCTTTTGCCTTCGATCCGGCTGTATGATCCTTTTGTTCTAGATCCTACGAATTTCCCGTGAACTGGTTACCGATGTTCCTACCAGAGGAAAACGAGCAGTTCCTTCGATTTTGTACCGATATATCACTTCATTTTTCTTTTCAGCAATTGTTGTAAGTTTTAATCAGTTCAATTTCCTATACAACAAGACGCTTGGCGTCTACCAGCACATTGGAATGTAGACCGACAGGTTTTGAACCGCGATAAAGTATGTAGTTGTCCACCCCACTCCTGCGCACGAAAAGTCACTAGCGAGGTTGGAATCCCTATATAAGTCTGTAACAATCCATTGTGTAGATTGTCCATCGACTGGCAAAATAAGTAGATGTCCACCTTCTACATCAGTGATGGGTAGAGATGGCGTGCAAAATCACTAACGGTGATTTATCACAGTGATCGCCGAATCACGATCACGATCGTGATTTAACTTCATTCACAACCGTGATTGCGATTTTTTTATCTTGACTGAATTTGCTCACTGCAATCGTAAGTCATTAATCTTTAAACAGAAAAACGTATTCAATATGATTTTACGATGAATTACATTACTGTGTTTGTAAAAATCAGTAGAAAAAACAAGAAATTCTAAAAGAATGATTTGCTAGGTAACATGTAGATTATAATTTATAATCATTAATTTATTCATTATTCTTCATTGTTTCTAATTATTCTTTCACTTTATACGATATAACTCGAATTTTTGTTTTGATGTCGTTAATATAAAATATAAAATATACAGATTATGTATCGCGTGTAAAGAACTGTTAGGTTTTTCCACCAATCAAAAACGATCACGAGAAATCACGAATCACTGTGAAAGATTACCGTGATTGAGAACAAACGTGATCGAATTACGAGTGATTCACAAGTAGTAGTTCACATCATCTCTAGTGAGAACGTGGGGTCACGGAGCCCCCGGTGGAGGCGCCATAGACCCTGCACGGTGAGAGTGTGGGGTCACGGAGGCCCCGGCGGAGGCGCCATTGATCACGTGGGGTGAGAGCGTGGGGTTACGGAGCCCCCGGTGGAGGCGCCATAGACCCTGCACGGATTTGTGCTAATAATACTTAGAATTCATGCTTTATCGGTAACGTCGGGTATTGACACTAAAATGGTAAGGGGGCTTCTGATGCCCTCGATGATGGGACTGAAAATTACATTGCATGTTAAGTCTATTCTTATATCTTGTCTGTGGCGTAAGTGACCCTGCGTGTATGAGAAAGTGGGGTCATAGTAAGAGACCCCCTGTGTGAGAGATGTACCAAATTCACAGAATACTGGGGCTGATATACAACATTATTTCTAAACCAGAATTCCCGTCGCTTTTTAGATGAAATTGTACTTGTAATAAAGTGTTGAAATTTTATTATGAATATGTATAGTTTTAAATTTGCAGACGTCCAAATTAAACGTAATAATTTATTGTAAAAGTGGATCTTCCCATTATCGAAATCACTAACCGTCCTAGTTATAAATTTCCGTTAGATTAGCAGCCACTTAGGTTCGTTACAAAAGGAGAAAATTTGCCATTTGTTCGTCGTGTATTGGCATTGTAAATAAAACGGAATGCTTGAGCGTATAATGGTTTATCGCACACAGGATAAGGGATAGAATAAAAGTTTTTCTTAGGGTAGTTTGATCATGCTTATTGTGCAACGGTTCATGTGTCCTATGCTACAGTTTTGGCCGTTGACATGATTTTTTATGGAATTATCGTACTAGCCCTCGCTGAAAACAGTTTGAAAAATTACAATCGATAATTGCAATATTCATTCAGTGATTGTCGAATAGGACAACGCGTGAAAGTTCGCGTAGAATGGAGCGTAATAATCGACTTTACGTTAAAAAATGTTTAACTTGCGCCAATGGATCCAATGCAATGCAATGTAAATTAAACGAGTAACCGTACTGGTGGACTTATTCATGCAACGATTCTTCTTCTAAACATGTGATATCTTTTTGCCCTTACTTCGACCTAACACATTTAAATAATGGTGTTCTGGATTTTCTACTTGGTAGCAATCATTTTGCACTTCAGTTCAGTGCACAGCAGTATGTATTTCTTCTGAAAAAAGCCACTTGTAATGAAAGAGTAAATTGTTTATATTTGTCTACTTTGCAGAACCAGAATCACATGGCTACTGTGCACCTTACAGTGGAAAGATCTGCAAGAGGTATTTAGCTGGTATTGGAAAAGTATGGTTCAATGACTCTAACAATAATCCTGGGGGATTATTGAATGAACAGATTACTACCAATTTGTGGGAGGAATTGATACAGGAACTTCAAGAACCATGTCGTTCAGCTGCAGAGGTATACATATTAGACCTAGAATCTCTTAAAGAATTTTCTCATTAAGATATTTGAAATTGTTATAACTAAGAATTTTCTATGGTAACCATATAAGTCTAAAGACAATTCTGTTGTTTCAGAAAATGCTATGCATGTATGCCTTTCCACAATGTTACAACTCAATTGGCCTACCATTATGTTATGAAGACTGCATGGCAGTTCGTCATCAATTTTGCTTTAATGACTGGGCAATGATAGAAGACAACAAACAGAGGAAGATTTACATCAGATCAAGAGGACATTTCACACTTCCGGAATGTGAATCACTGCCTAAAGTAGTTAAAGGAAAAGTGACCTGTTCACATATTCATTTGACGGATATGAATGAAGAACTTGTTACATGTAAAGCAGACTTTATACTATTTCAAGTTTCATTTGAAACATATCTCTTCTTAGTTATTTATTATTTTAGATGACTGTGTCAAAGGAAATGGCAGATTTTATATGGGTAAAGTAAACAAAACAAAGTATGGCTTGGACTGTCAGCCGTGGAGTGCACAAATACCCCATAATCATGATAGACCACCAGATGTCTTCCCTCAGATTCGTGATAGTGAAAACTATTGTAGAAATGCTGGTGGAGATGAACCAATGCCTTGGTGTTTCACCATGGAGTCTAGAATACGATGGCAACATTGTGATATTCCTATATGCGGTATGCAGTTGATACCTGATCAAACGTCTTTAATATAATTGCATTGTTCATTTTATTCTTCTTTTGGTCTTCAACTTAGATAACGTAACAAGTAAAGTATTGGAGGTCGACCCAAAAGACTTAACAATGGACACATTGTTTACTCCAATGTTTATACTAATACTGTCTTCGTTGGGATTTGTAATTATAGCTGGAATTCTATCGATTATTGTGAGTCACAGATTTCATAAACGACATCAAGGATACAACCCAACAAATAACCAGGTACAGTAAACGTAATTGATTTTAGAAAATTGTAGACCATATAAAATCATGTGCGAAATTGGCCAGAAAAATAATGTTGTGTCTGGACTTAATAATCGTGCATAAGTAGTTTTAATTGGAGACAGTTTCGATCATTGGCAATAATCAGAATGTTAATGATGTATTTTTAGTATATAACTATTAATTTGGATAAATTGCCAAGCAACAATGCCTACCACAAGACAAGCGCCCAGCTTAATCCAAAGTTGGAGAAACTTGAATTCCCAAGGAACAATGTTATTTACGAACGCGACCTAGGACAAGGTGCTTTTGGTAGAGTATTTCAAGCTAAGGCACCGGGTCTAGTGCCAGGCGAGGAATTTACCAATGTTGCCGTTAAAATGCTCAAAGACGAAGCGTCAGAGGATCTGCTTAAAGATTTCGAACGAGAAGCATGTCTGCTAGCCGAATTCGATCACCCGAACATTGTCAAACTGTTAGGCGTATGCGCGCTAGGTCGGCCAATGTGTTTGCTATTCGAGTATATGGGCCGCGGTGACTTAAACGAATTTCTGCGGTCTTGTTCACCTGGTAATTATATTATCCGTAGTTTGGAAAGGGACGAACATTTCACAGACTCTCGACTGTCGCACATGGATTTAATTAATATCGCGCTGCAAGTCGCTTCTGGTATGGTGTATCTATCAGACCGGAAGTTTGTACATCGGGACCTCGCAACGAGGAACTGTTTGATCAATGACCAAATGATTGTAAAAATAGCCGATTTCGGACTGTCACAAAAGATCTATCTGCAAGATTATTATAAAGGAGACGACCAAGATGCTATTCCAGTCAGATGGATGCCTCTGGAAAGTATATTGTATAATAAATATACCGTGGAGTCTGATGTATGGGCTTTTGCAGTGTGTTTATGGGAGGTATTCAGTTTTGCTCTCCAACCGTATTATGGGATGACTCACGAGGAAGTTGTAAACTACATTAAAGAAGGCAATGTCCTTCAGTGCCCAGAAAATACACCCCAAGACATATATGATTTAATGAAACTTTGCTGGAACAGAAGACCATCGGATAGACCCGCTTTCAGAACCATTTATAATACACTGGATACTATAAAACACAATTTGGAAGCAGAGAATAAGTCAGACAGTGTACCGTTACGTATCCACGTTTGAACCTGATAATAATTTATACTAGAAGGGAACTCGAGGATTCATGAAACTAGAGGATAAGTGATATTTATGCAAATGTAAAGGTAAGTGAATGGTAAATTGTACCTACGTGTTACACGTAACTGCCTTTGTTATGTTTGTTGCGTAGCATTACCAAACAAACTGACTGAAATGTTTATGAGAAATGTTTGATATTAGCAGCCATTATGTTCGCGATATTAAATATTTATATAAAACAAAATTGATAATTTTTTTGGTACAATTTTGAAGTAAAACGCAGATATGTACTTTTTATAAATCTTTTCCTTGTAAGTAGATATAGATATTACCTTGAATCTTTTCTTTTACATGAATTTAATGAGAATTCTTATCTAAATTGTTTTTAGATGACATTTAAGATAATTACAGTGCTCTTCTAGTTTGCAAACGTTCACTTTCCTAACTTTGAATTTATTAATAACTTATTTGAATTGGAACTATTTATAGTAAATTTATACAAACTCGTATATTACGTTTAAATCTATTGTGATTTCAAGCATTCCGTCAACGAATTTTACTACAATAGAACATATTACTACCAGTAAAGATATAAGGATGAACCATACTGATACAAGGGTTTCAGTGGTAATATAATAGATACAATGTTTTTTGTCTAAGTAATAAGTAGTCTACGGATTTTTATACAAGTTCACATTTTTCGAGATCAATTTACAACCACTAAAATTAAACCGAAATTAACTTTTTTCGATTAAAAATAAAATAATTTTAGTGAATTATAATCAACCTGTTATTTTTTTGTGTTCTGCATATTCTGACGTATGCTGTAAATGTATAAACATCCGCAGCTTAGTAATAAGACTACAGAACTCAATGTGCAAAGCAACCAATAAATTAATTTGCGTGTAGTTAATATCAGCAGACTGCCGAATTGTTTAAAAACTTATAAAAGATGATAATTTTTTGGAAGTCTCTGTCATCTTTTTAATACATCCTCCCGGTGGTTTATATACGTATTACTTATCTTGCAACTCTTTTAAGACAAAATTTTGTACTATGTATGGTTTGAAAAAAATTGTTAAAAAATTTCAATTTATACAATGGAACTACAATTTTTTTTAGTTTCTTGTAAGTCAAACAGTATTTACACAAATTTTACTAGTTTGTTATTCTTATGGTTAGAAACTTAAAGACTGATGAATTTTTTTAAATAAGTTTTACCATTGTAAGAACATAATGTGTAACATTCTTTTTTGTGCATTGCTTTATGAAAACGAAAAGCTCCATTTTTTATTAACTTTAGATGTTTTGTTTCTTTGTTAATATTCTCTATACAATCATTACAGCAATGCTTAGTTGCACTAGTTGATCCGATCATAATTGTATACATATATCAATATATTTAAATGTGTAATTATATGATAATGCAAATATATTTGCTGTATTTCCTTACTTCTTCAAAATTGGAGTATATTAAGAGGCATATACTATGTTGGCAGACAGACTTTCCTATATATATATATATATATATTTATATATATGAAGCAACAAATAATGTTTCACTAAGACAGATAATACGGAATTTATATAACTGTGCAAACAATTCGGCTATAAAAAAGAATGAGTTTATATTTAGCAACGTTATGTGTAAACTGTCCTTAATTGTTAGATGTTAGATCGTTGCTGTACCAAAAACATAGCCTATTTAATGTACGAAGAATATCAATGAAAGCTATTATGAAGAATGTTACAGTAAAAAAAAAAAAGAAACATTAAGTGAGTGTATACTGTGCAACTGTTATGCATAAAGTTTGAAAGTAAATCGCTACTGTGCTGTAAAACAATATTTAAATGAATGTTTTAACTGTAACATTGAATTGATTTAGAGTACTATCTGTTCTATAAGATACATGTATAACGCGTCTAAAGCATCTTTCTTATAATGTATAATTTTTTATAGATCTTTTGATACAGGTTTTTTCTTTTAATGCAAAGACTCAGTTCCAATTTTCATGATGCGATTTAGCACTTTTTAAATAATATTGAAAATAATTTTCATTACAGCTCAACTACTTTGAATTCCATAAATGTGTCATTTGTTAGTATTTTTATAATAGTCTTTATATGTTAGAAACATTCTATTGATTTCTGAATGTTGTATCCTAAACTTAAATACATAGATATGTATAACTAATGAATGTCATCATCCATTTGGTTTTTAATGAGTATTCATTGCAATAGGCACATAAATGTTCTTCGTTCTGCTGTAAATCTTGGTTGAGCATTAACAAATACTATATACAAAATGCAAAAAAGAAGGAATGATGTGAATGCAATATCCAAATGCTCTTCCATAAACTTTTTTATACACGACTTTTATATTGTGAAAGAGAAGAAGAACTTTTACCAAGTTTGTGCTCTTACATCTGTGTACTTGTATCCTGTATAAGTAGTATTGTACGTGATATATTATGATGATACGTACATGAAGCGTATTGTCGGCGACCAAGAAAGAAACTTCTGGTATTATATAAATTCGTTAAGTTCAGATACGTTATTGACACTGTAGACTCTATTCTGAATTTTATGTACAACAAACTGTAATCTAATCTGTAAGAACATCGAGATTCCTCGGTACTCTATTTTGAACCCCGGTAAATTCATAAGTATCGAAACATATGAAGTAAAGTGAATATCTCTGGTCAATTTGAAAATATCTCAAGGTCGTTTTTTTTTCTAAATTATGAAGCTTATCAATGTTTTTATGAATGGAAACAACAATTTGTTTCTTTTGCGTAAATTGTAACGTACATTAAGACAATGTTTTTGAAGTGTATACTGTACGTATGAGAACATTTTGGACCTTGGTAAAAGTTTGAGAAAAATGACTTTCGTAGAAAGAAGTTGTATTTGTTAAATTTATCTTTCAGAAGCATGTAGTATTGGTTTGATAATTTTTTTTTATTATCAAATCTATCGGAGATTTTTCACGATTCACCTTGTATATTTTAATATTACGAATATCGAGGAATTATTAATGAAATACTACAAACGTGTTGAAAGAACTGCTATGAAACTTTTACTGGTGTACAACTTTTACAAAAAATAAACAACCAATTTCATGTACCCTTCCATTCATTTCTTTACCGATTCAAGGAATAAAGTGTTAGGGCGTGTTGCAACACAAAACAAAATACATTGCTCCATAAATATATTTCTGCATATCTTCTCTTCAATAAACTAATGTCAAATTATTATGTATATAAAAAGCAGATATATATATATTATATAATACATTTGAGTTTCTCTTATAACTATCTTACATGTGATGTATCTTACATGTATGATGTAATAGTTGTAAGTAACTAGGTGTATATATCTGGTAAACTGTTTTCTAATTGAAAATAATATGTGTGTTCTAGTATATATGTATCTTCTGGAGCTTGTATACTTTCCTTACAGTGTATCATTTAACATTTTTAATGTCCATAAAATTAGGAACAGCTGTTGCCATAGAAAAAAATATTTATAAAATCTACACCTGCAGCGGCAGAGAAGAATGTAACGCTTTATACAAATTTGTTCAATGATCTGCACAGTGAAACGAGATCTTCAAACTTTTTCTGTTAACAATTACGGTTAACTGAAGCTTTACACATTTATATCAATGCATATACAATGTATAAATGTGTAAACAAACGGACAAATCAATAATAAAGTTTATCAAACACAACAAAGATAAAATGTTGACAGTATATTACAACATCAAAGATTACGTATGGCATATATCGTTATATGTTCCTAGATTTAACTACTGTTTCCATGATATGTTACTGTGAACTTATTAACTCCAATATGCGAAGTGGTACTAAAACTAAAAACTAAAGAAATATATTTATTTCAATTATTAGAAACCTTATTGGTTGATTCTTTGGTTTCACTTGATATCTAGTTAGAAGTAACATTACTTTCTTTTCGGTTTCTATGAAAAGATTTAGTACGAAATTTTCATTAATTTTGATCACAGTAGTAACCGCGTCTTTCGTTTCTATAAACTTGATTTAATGTTACTTTTTAAACAGTACAAATAAAACGTCCAGATTTATTAGCTCCTCGAGATCGTGCAGTATCTGAAAATGTACTTCAAAATAACTAAGTAATATGTTTCAGTCCATATTATATCAGGCAGCATTGCATTTATACCTTGCTGTACGTTACAATGTATCCCTATACACGTCATCGTTAAGTATCTGCACGCAACAGATTATTTACCTTTAGATCACATAGAACGATATTCTTAAAATAAAATAATTAAAAACACAGACCCTGAGGATTTAGCTCAGCAATACTGATACTTGAAATCATTATAGCTACGTTATTGCATCGCATAATAATTTTTTTACTAACGAGCACTCAGGGAATGAGAAAGGAATGTACCTTAGAGATTGTTTTTTCCTACAAGAGAATGTTTTTTTAAAAAGTAATAGAATAGTGTAATGTTAACGTAAGGTTTAACTGTACTGTTTCTCATTTATGTTGCTCGTGTACTTTGCTCTCTAAAAGTGACTACCTCATACTTGTATAAGTACAAACACCGACTTGCACTGCAATCAAAATGCATCTTTTATGTTCTGGAACTGCCTTACCGCCAAGTCCACTGGTAAATCAAATTTATAGCTTGTAAGACGGTCGAGAGTATGGAATGCATCTTGAAAACCTGTTTACAATAATAATAGAGAAATACTTTACGTATCATGTCCACATCAATGGTAATCATTTTCACTTCAATATTTCGATATACCTGTTTTCACAACGTAACTCCACGATGCATAGTGATTCTCAAGAAGATACTGGCATTGCAAGATAAGTTTCAACCAAGCCACAAGTTTTTTAGCGCTAAAATAAAGCATCGATGAATCACGAGTCTTTACCAGTAGAGAAAAAGCTGTACAATTATTTACTCACTTCAGGGATGCGCATATGAATGCTTTAAAATGAGAATCATAACTTCTTTTATATGGACTGTGTGAAGCAATAATATTCCCGATTGTTGTTAATAGACTCTAGAAATTTAAATAACTATGGTTTATATTTATTAATACAAATTAACGTCTATCATATTGTATAATGAGTACCTGTTTAGAAGAGATGACTCTTCCTGCCAGATCTAGATTAAAGCTTTGAGATAATTTCTGTGCTGGACTACAATTATAACGGTGACCATTTTTAATTTCATAATATTTCAATACTAGTTCCCATGCATGCATTAAATTAGTAGTAGAGGAATGTCTTTGAGGAAAACATCCCACGAACGGTACGACACTATTGGAACGCACATCAGACATTAAACCGTGTTGTATTAAGTCACGTATGGAGGTTGCAAGATGCTTCCTTACGGCAGACGTTACTCTTGCATTACAATGAGACGTGGAATCTGAATCCGAGGCATAATCGTTTTCGTTAATGACATCATCGTCGTCTGGATGACGTTCAGTGTCAGCGATGGTCTCTATGACATGTTCAACAGCTATATCTAATCTGGTTCTTAAATCGCGCCAACTGTATAATGAATTTTTCTTGAAGTTCCTTCGCACCCTTTCACTACCGCATCCTAATTGAGACACTAGGAACATATGCAACAGAGCCACCACCTTCTTTACGGTGTTAAGAGTTTTAGCTTTACTTTCCTCTTCTAGTGGTTTTTTGTTAAATGCATTCTTAGTATACGAAGAAGAAGTGGCAGATCCACTAGTATGTACAGGACAAGCACAAGTGCAAGCTAGGGTCTCTGTACTTACTTCTCCGTGAAGGTAACTTATAAAACGCTCTAAATCTGTAATTTGTGTTTTCAATTGAGTTACTAGTTGCTCTTTCATTTTCAGGGGACTAACAATCTGTAAATTGGATTTATAAATTCTCTAATTCACAAGCATTCGTTTATTGATGGATTCTACTAAATCAAATTGATTTACCTGACTTATAGCATAATCTACTTGCCATCTTAAATCATCGATTGGTAGTTTGCAAAGATCATCGACATTGAAATTCAATTTTTCTTTTAAATGATCTGAAAAAGGACAACGTTGGTCTTGGTTCTATGTAAAAGGGTTAATATTTCCAGAAACTTACTGATAATGATATTCTGTCGTTCTAATATCATACTCTGTGGTAATTCTGCCTCACCAGTCTCATAGGCATACTTCTCTAGATCTTCCAACTGAGATTTCAACTGACATATAAGTTCCTTTTGCTTTGTTCTTTGCAAAGCCATTTTAGACTCAACATCAACATCATTAATTACTCCAGATATCTGTTATATTGCATACACTAAGCATTCAGTATCTTGTTTTTTTAATTACTGTCTAACATAGAAATAGAAGCTCAGAATTGAAACAAGGGTTAACAGCTAAGGCATGAAAATAACAAAACATGTATTAAGACAATGTGTATAAAACTATTTATTTTTCACTGTAACGTAGGTATTATTTTATCTACAAGCTAATTAGATTTCTAGAAAATAAAAAATATATCACAGATTTGTATGCATATCAGCATTATACAAGCAAAGCGAGTTCGATAAACATAAACCAAACACACAGAAGAAATATTAGTGAGAAGAAAATAAGAAAAGGGTAAAAACTTAATATAACACAAAAAAAATTAAAACACTGGCATGGTAGGTCTTTGTATGGCTTACACTTTGCTTGCAGGACACTGGAGAAGTTGGAGTAATTGATCTACTATCAAATGACAAGTTATTTGGAACATCAGGTATTCCCCTAAATGCAAACTCTTCTAATTCTTTGAGCAATGCTTCCTTTTCATTTGCTGGTGCATCCACAATTTGTCGTAAACGAAATTGAACCTACAATATATCCTTGCCATTTATTCATTTTCTGCATCAACCTTCTGCGGCCTTTATTAAAGACCTTTAGAAATGTACTGAGATTGAAGTTAAAAGGATTGAATCTGAGCCAATACGAGTGATTAAGAATAAATATTTTGTCTAAGGGGTATATTTCTTTAATTAGATATCAATCTTTTTAACTTTAATCAGTCTGAACACTGAGAAATATGCTATACCTGGGCAAAGTGAGTAGTCAGTGCTATGAGGGATGAGTTAAGCATTTCTTGCTCCTCTTCGAGCACCTTGAGCCTCTCCATGTCATATGACAAGCTAACATGACATAATAGAAGATGTCACTTAACTACAGCAGCAAGTAAACAATACCTTTAAATTATTCAGTTACAAGTTACTCACTTCTCCATATTATCTACATATTTATATTCGTCGGCAAAATCATTGTCACCGTCGTTCGCCCCAACTGGTGCCCATCTTTCCCCGGAGGGTCTATCGCTTTCATCCGAGTTCTCGATATCTTCCACCTCGCAACCCTTATGTTCTCCAGCGCTCATTTTCTTTATCGTCTACGATCTCGACTTTCTTCTACAATCCGAGCGTATATTTATTGATTCTTCTTCACAGAAACAGATTCAGTAGAACCAAGTAAGTCTCGTCTCAATCTCTGCTTTTACGTACCGAAAAATTGATTCCCCTTCGCGGGACATTACAACGTTCGGTCTTCCACCTTTTCGTCACGTTTAATCCATTAATTAACTTCTGCGCACGTGTACGACTGGAAACGTCACTGACTGTTGTCGATCAAGCGTCTCTGTAAGGCGCGTTCTCACATCAAATGGTTTTGAGTTTTTGAGCATTGGAGGGATTTATAGCAGGCAATTGTGTTAACAACCTGATCAAATATGTATTCCCCTTCGCCCCACCAACATTTTCTCAATCTCTGCAGCGTCTCTCAACTTACATTTACAGATTGAAATCCAAATTGTCCGACTTCGACTTTCTAATTTAATTTCACACAAATAATACATATAAAAGTAAGTATGCTACAAATATTACGAATTAGGAATCACATGGAAAGGGAGTTTGAAGTCAGATAAGTATAATCAAAGTTAGACAACTCGGACAGAGATGAATAAATTTAGTTTAACACCTCTGTCAGGCGTAGTAAGTAGGGATCCCCCTCCACCCCGTGGCTTAAAGATGTCTCTGCAATGATGCGGCCTCGTATAGAATTGGCTCGTTTTTTCGTGATAAAAATCTGGCCATGATCGATTCACGCTGCTATACAGAGACACCTCAATAACGGTTTAATAAACTGGAATTTTTCGTTTTTCAACCAAGTCGAACAGAGTCGAGCCATTTTAAGATAAAACAGAATCGAGGCTTTCAACGATCGGTCGTTAAATACGGTAAAGGATTATCATTGCAACGTTATGAACGGACCATTACATTTTTTAGAAGATTTTTCTTTCAATGAATGATAGACTCGTAAGTTTGTTCGATACTGGTAAATGTGTTGGATCGTTGGAATTTCGGGTGATCGTGATCTATTGTTGTTACGCTGACACTGCGAGGGATAAGGATCGACAAGTGAACAGTGAGATATGTTCATGAAAGAAGTCTTTGAAAAGATCCGTCGAATAACCTGCATCTCTTGACATCTACTCAGTGTCGATCGGTACATCGTCACTGTGTGTGCGATTATTATTCTTGATACTGATTGAGAAAGAAAACACTGAGTCGCATATCGTGGTGTGTCGCGATGATGCGGCTGGAAACGATCCTGGTGAGGCCGGCAAGAAAGAAACGGAACGTCGACGGACCAATTGCCGAATGATTTTCAGGAATTCTATTGAACAGTAGTCTTTAGCGAGTCTCGTACTGTCCACGGATCTATCTGCTTGCCATAGATATATCGATGCTCTTGGGAAATCATTCTTGAAGTATTATAGGTAATAATAGTGTTATTTTTCACATGTCAATTTTATCATATATTTAGTTTCTATTGTTTATATCTGTTTATAGTTATACATGAAATGGGTAGTGCTTGGTGGCAGTGCACCGCATGTCTGAGAGCACAAGAAGAAGATATTTGTGAATTGCAGTTGAACCATTGTAATCTTTATGATGTACCACCTGATGTGTTCATTTACGAAAGAACATTGGAAAGGCTCTATCTGGATGCGAATAGAGTAAATACGAATGCTAGAAACTTTGCCTTTGTACATATACCTTGAAAATATTAACAATACATTTTATTCCAGATAAAGGATCTTCCAAGGCCGCTGTTTCAGTGCCATGAATTGCGAGTACTATCCCTTAGTGATAATGAAGTCACCACATTACCACCCGCCATAGCATCATTAATTAACTTGGAATATTTAGACCTCAGTAAAAATAGTGTGTACACAAAGTTTTTTTTATGATATCTGTAGTATTAACTATGTACTGATTCTTATTAATGACTGTTTTCAGGTATTAAAGAATTACCAGACAGTATAAAAGAATGTAAAAACCTTCGTTCCATAGATATCAGTGTTAATCCTTTTGAACGTTTCCCAGATGCTATTACACATATTGTTGGATTACGGGAATTATATATAAATGATGCATACATAGAATATCTACCAGCTAATTTTGGAAGACTCTCAGCTCTGAGAACACTGGAGCTTAGGGAGAACAACATGATGACATTGCCAAAGAGTATGAGCCGTTTGATAAATTTGCAAAGACTTGATATTGGTAATAATGATTTCACTGAATTGGTAAGTTCTTCTTTGTGTGTACTGAATTGTGCGCGATATCCTTTATTAATTAATTGCATACTTTCAGCCTGAGGTTGTTGGTGATCTTATCAATCTCACCGAGTTGTGGATAGACGGAAATGATATTAAACGTATACCAGTCAACATCAACCAACTGTATCGTTTGAATCATTTTGATTGCGCAATGAACACGATTCGTGTTATTCCGTCGGAAGTGGAAGGCTGGAGAGATATTTCGATTATGCATCTTTCTTCCAATGAAATTTATCAGTTACCGGATTCTCTTTGCTATCTACGTACAATCGTGGTCCTCAAAGTTGATGACAATCAATTGAACGCACTGCCAAATGACATAGGACAGATGTCAAACTTAGAGGAGCTTATAGTTACTAAGAACTTCCTTGAATATTTACCATCATCAATAGGTCTTTTACGAAAACTACACTGTTTGAATGCAGACAATAACTACTTGAGATGCCTTCCACCGGAAATTGGAAGTTGCACCGCATTATCGTTACTCTCGTTGCGATCAAACAATCTAACCCGGGTCCCGCCCGAATTAGGTCACTTATCCTCGTTAAGGGTACTTAATCTTGTGAACAATTGCATTAAGTATTTGCCCGTTTCTATGTTGAACTTGAATAATTTGAAAGCCTTATGGCTGAGCGACAATCAAAGTCAACCACTGGTGCCACTGCAACAGGAGTTTAATTGTGAGGAAGACATGATGGTGTTGAGCTGTTTTATGCTTCCACAAAACCCGCGGCAGGAACTTGAGCGTGAGTACCTCCACTTACGCATAAAATTTAAGCTCCCAAGTTACATAGTGTGTTACAAATTTAGTTTTATACATAATTATTTAATAACTATATACATATATATATATATATATGATACATTATTGCTGCTAGTGGATAATGAAGAGGAAGATGAGGAATGAAATGGTAAAGTATGAGATAAAAAGTATATGTAACAAATGTTCCCTAAAGTAATTAACGATTTTCCTAGACTTTATACTTGCGTTTCATGATCATAGTAATCACATGAATAATTGTGATTCTATATCTGTTACATCTAGAAATACCGCCGGCTATAGGACTGATTTCGAGTTCAATTGTTGGTACCGGAAAAAGAATATGTTTCGCTGCTGAGGTAGAATCTGAAATCCCTAGACAACTTCATCGAGCACCGACACCTTACCCTAAAGAGCTGCGCAACCTCGCTAGGCATGCCCGCAATTTGCAACATCAATCTGCTCACGATCAAAGAGTATGTACTACTTAACTTTCGCTTGTTTTTTGTGTGCTGTTATACATCGATCGTTCCGTTTACGCTTAAGAAAGTGAAAAATCTTGTTTAAATTTAGAACGATAAGCGATATTGATGATTATGGTAATTTCAAATATCGTATTTTTTTGTTTATATTTTTTTATGCGTGTGTGTGATTTTGCATTTCTATGAAAATCGAGAATACAAGGAAATTGGTAATTGACACTTCCAGATGCATTTAGAACAGGAGACACTGATCAAAGAAGCTATTATTGCAAAAGCTACTACTACTCTGGACCTTGCCACAAAAACTGGGACCTGTTTTTCGCAAAGTTTCTCTAATAAGGTATTTATAAAAAGAAAAGTTATGAAAAAGAAAGGCAATTTATTAGATTCCAGAGTAACCAATAACATTAAGACCATTAAAAGTCTAAAACATTAAATATATTCTCGAGATGTAAATAAGTTCTTATAAATGCAGAAGGAAGATAATTTAATAGCAAGAATATTTTAAACTGTCCACTAGTGAAATGTATGCATGGAACCATTGAACGTATTTATTCATCAGGGTTCACATTCTTCACTTTCACCTACTGAGCGTCATACATCAAAAGGGTACAAGAATGGTAGCCCTACGGATGCTGGAACAGAGCAGTCAGTGTCAGAGGAATCTTCGGACGAAGCAAATAAGACAGTACTTGCGAAAGAAAAGAGTCCGGACATTCGAGAAGCAAAGTATATTCGTAACCCTACATCCGAGTATCTTTCTAAGACACCGACAGTAGCTGATTATGTGAATTCTACGTGGAAACCAGACGAATACTCGAAAGCAAACACAGCAAAAATTGTGGAGTCAGAAAAGTTTGCTGTAGTTAGTAACAATGCTGATCAGACGCATATTCAGACGCCGAAATTAAATGAAATTCCCCCAGTTCCGCCACCGTATCACATTGCTGCTGCATTTTCCAAGAAGGCAGCACTTTTCCAGCAGTTAAACCAATGTATGTTATTTACAGTTGTCCTTTAGGCTATACATACATTCAATACACTTCAAATACATGTTTTGTTATTTCGACAGGTCAATCGGACCCGCCAACGATCGTCTCTCCGCAAACGGATCTCGACATATCAAATTTAAAAGTATCCCAGGAAACTCAATTACAAAATTATGATGAAAATGAGGAATCACTTAAAGCGGAAGAATATGTGCGTTTATGCAACGAAAAGTTTTCATCGAATAGCATGAACACATCAGACGTGACTGTTAGTAATGGGAAAACAAGTTCTCCGGAAACTCCCGATCAGACCCACCTATTCACAGAACCAAGTGATCAGGAGCAGTCGTTCGAAGGGGATCGATCGTTGAAGCCGAGCAGAATTCCAATTCTAAAGACAAAGCACCTAGAATCCACGAATTCTATATCTAACAGTGATTTATCTAACAAATGTATGAATTCTTCCACTGAAGATTACGAGAGTTTGAAAATTTTGAATTCGTCGTGTATACCTACATCCCCTGTGACAGGAAAGAAGTATCGGAGTCCGATCTCTATGCAGCCGAAATTCTCAGATCGTTCGAAGAAAATAATGAACGGAACCATTTCCAACAATAATACATCGTGCGACAATCTAGCGTCACTGAATACAATGAATTCTAATCTGGTTGCAAGTTTGACCATAGAATGCCAGGATACCACTTTGAAAAGTATTTCCAACGACATAACGAATGCAAACAGCCCTATTAGTATAAAGAACGATGCTAACTCCGGTCGAAGTACACCAATTTCATTGAACAATAAATCTCTGAACGACGTTAACAATTCGAACATTGATAAGTACAAAGTTAGTGGAATAAATGATTCTATAAATTTTGATAGGAAACCGAGGTTCAAATGGATGTTCGGCCCACATAAAAATGCTAACGTAGTATGTGCTTTGTTCTGAAAATGTTGCATAAAATCAGCTATCTTTTGAAGTAATTAATCATTATTTTACAGTTGCCTGTTCAAGTTAGAAAAAACCCAGGCCTCGGTTTCAGTATAGCTGGTGGAGTAGCTGGCGCAGAAACTGTAAGCTTTTGAGCCTTTTGAGAAGAATAACTCGATACGTATACCTCGTTCATTTATCTTTTATTTCTTTTAACTTTAGGGAATCATTGTGACCAAAGTCAATCCAGATGGTCCAGCTCAAGGTACGCTTCGACCGGGAGACAAGATTTTGGAAGTAGATGGTATAGATTTCACTAAGTCTGATCACAATAATGCTGTGGCTGTTCTTCGAGCGACCGGTGCAGTGGTATCCATGATGATCAGTCGCCACCAATGACATCAAATTAACGGAAACACCTTCCTCTACGATGCACGATCAGTTCACATGTTTCAGACTGACTCTGTAAGTCCTATAGTGTAAATGTCTTTTTCGTGTAATCACTATTTGGCGACAGATACTGGCGAGAACACATTTTTGTTTGCTTTCGAACGCGTGTTTCCAACGGCAGTAGATCGTGCTGTTTTCGACACTGTCTAATGATTGATTTGTACGATTGAAACAGCGTTACCAAAGGTCAGAGTGGGGTTACCCGTTTGAGAAAAACAAAATTTTCGGCTTCCAGTGGTCTCGTGACGTATTAACGACAACAATTCGTTAGGGTTATACCGTAGGCTAGGAACGTGTTCCCTTTGCACAATTGTTGAAGGAAAAGAAGTTTGAATAATGTGATATACAAGAGAGTTATTTTTAAGAGGATATTTCTTCACGGGCCAATTCATATAAATAGCATAAGGTAGTGGCTATTTAGCGGACAGTTACGGGCGATATGTTCTTTTTTTCCCAAATTTCTGACTCCATAAACATATATATGTACATTATGTTGTTTTATGGTGTTGGTTGTATTCGTGTCGACTCACTTGTTCTCTTTACAGAGAGCTGACAATGTGCCAGAAACAAAATACTATTTATTAACCGTATACATACAAAATAATTATATAAAAATGAATATATATATTATGCATATATATTATATACAAACATTATCTTTGATAGTTGGATGGGATTTTTGCAGACTTCTTTTTTATATTATATTTTGTACGCGTAGAAATGTTTATTTTGTAGGAACCTTTATCTTAACATGTAGATTTTGAAATCACAGAGTTCAATGAGTGAGTTTTTTTTATTTTTTTTTTTATTTATTTTATAAATGGCACAGTTTGGTTTTGTTTAGAAATATATCTATGATAATCTTGTTGCAATAGCAACCGAGAAACGATATTTTTCTATGTGCCGTAATTTTATTCGTAACGTTTGTATTATTATTTTCTTGCAAAATATGGTTCATTGCAAATTTCAGCCAGTTTCTTTTTGCAAGAACGACATTCTTGTATTCAACGTCTTATTGAGGGCAATTTTATATGTTTTGCTTGCCATTAATTCGTGATACGTTTACTTTACGAAACAGTAAAGTATATTTTAGGAACTCTTGTTTATTTAATTTTAAAATCGAATGTTGAGTTTTTGACAAAATGAAACCGTTATCGTTGTGGTTGTGAATTATTATGATATTTGATTCATTCTATATTAAAGGCACAAATGTATGTACCTTGTAGAAACTGTCTTCCATGACAGTTATTATTATGGCAGAACGTTGGCCAGACCGTAAGATAAAATACTACTTTTCTATGTTAGTGGATCTATACCGGCAAATGAAAGTTATTCATGTAAATGGGGGTAGAGCTGTGAGATAAATGTTTTAGAAAGGTTGTACGATGATGTATAGCACAAGCAAACTGTTCATGTCAAGATATGAGTTATAACCAGTATGCACTCTTTGTATTCTGGAACTTTTGCAACAAGATAACGATATTGCACTTCACTTTACCTCGCATATGGAACATTACAATGCACATTCTCATTATCTATATAGTTCCAGTTTTAAAAATTAAGTTACACGTTTAATTAACTTCGCTAACTCTAGGAGCATTTATACAACACGTTTTATGAATCTCTACACTCATATTTAAGCAGCATTCACACATACTGTTTGTTTTCTATATTTTAGAATGTCTTTCCGAGTAAATATTCAAATGTTTTGTTTTTTAGATATAGATATTTGAGCACAGACGTGTTAATGTTGTTAGTATTCGATTAAAGTAACATATTACAGTTGCAGTTATAATATGGGTAGCTATGCAATGGACGTATATATATATATATATATACACACACACACACACACACATATATGTATACATGAATGCGTCTGTTGAGCACAATTTCAAATGTATATAAACTATTCTATTCTATAATTGTCTAAGCTTCAGGTCGTTCGGTATGTTTTTTGGAACTGTGACGAAGCTTGGAACTTTCAGAATTGAGAATTACAACAGAAAATGTATATTTTCAGAAAGACTTCCTTCAAATATACCGCGTTTCACGTAAATTCTTATTCAGCGAATAAGAGTTACTCTGTCTATGGAAGAACGTGCCGAATTTACACGTTGATATATTTTCCAAACAAACTGAGAACAAAAAGAAAAATATAAATTATTTTTTATTCTCACTTTTGCTTGAGTATTTTGTGAAGGTAACTTTAAATAACTAATATACTCGATTATGAAGTATTCTTAGTGAGATTTATGCATGATTCGAGGACTTCTTAATTTAAGCTGTATCAACATGATATTAAAGAAAAAGTATGATGTTCTTTTCATCATCTTTGCGAGTCTATATAGTTTTATTCTATAAAAGCAGCTTCGTATTTAAACTCTTGGACTAATTACATTACCAATAATAATCTATATACCTAGTCATATTGGGAAATAAGAAGTATGATTGAGGGTGAATTGTATTTTCACCTAATAACGTCTGCGTTTGTATTGATATTTTGTGTAGTTTGTTTTTTTATATGAGTTTTACCTATAAGAGCTATGATAGAGGAGAAAACTGGTATATTTATACATGCATTTACGTTGAGACAAAAACTTTTATGCATTTATTCATAGTAACGGTACAAATTGAATTTCGTATGTGTGTTAAGTTTTTCACCGGTATATCGTTTAAAATATTATTTTTCATTATTATTGATGGTTTTTCATCTTACTCTCTCGAAAGACAACTTGATTATCATAAAAGATTTTGGACCATGAGCACATATATACAATCTTTTCTACTACTCTACCTACTAAACAGACTGACTACTTTTTGAGTAAATATTTATGTGGCATTTAAGGGAATGGAATGATTGTACGGCATACGAGTGACTGAGGATGCGTTACATCATAAACTGTATATATACAAATTACAAATACATAAATCAATAAGTGGTCGTACTCATTATAAACTTTTTCTTTTTTTTATAAACCTATTCTGCTTGTGATTCTGTCAATGTTCATTTCCTTTCACTGAAATCGTTCTTTCATCTAAACCCAACATAGATGAGCACCCTTAATGAGAGAACCCTTATGAAGAGCAATCAATGCACAAAGGGTATTAATCAGTACAACCACTTCCTTAACATATTTTTTGGTATATACCTTCTACTCGGATAATTTGTATGGCAATGTGTAATAGATTTAATGTACAAAACTGCTCACAGTTCGACTGGTCACCATATATATACATATACATATATATATATATAATAACTACCATAAAGTTGTAACACTTTGCATATGTTAGAACAAGAACAAACAAATAAGATATTTTACCTTTATCGAAAAGTCCTAGTTGGTTGTGCAGCAATAAATAAATTAATATTTACGTACAAAAACGTTGTCAGACTTTTATTGTATTTATGTACAACCCCCACACCCCAACGACACGAACCCATTCGAGCTTCGAAGTACGTCTCGACGGAATTGTAAAAAATATAAAAATGGTAGTCGTATTCGAAATGAAAAAAAAAATACCTGTGAAATATCCTTTTAATGGTATCGATGGGGGTTCACGCCCCTATCAACAGGAATGCTGGATTTTCAACGTAGTACTTCCAGAGATTCGAATACTTTGCCATGGTAACGCCGTCCACCACACGATGATCGGCCGCCCAACTGATGGAAATCACATTCGCGGCAACTATATTTCCTTTACCATCGAATCGCGGCAATTTCTGCGCTTTTCCAAACGCCCCGATCACAATTTGCGGAGGAAGAATCACCGGTTTCGTATAGGTACCGCCGATCTGCAAACGCGACATTTAAAAATCAGTTCGAATATTCGATCAACGACACGTGACTAACTTCACTTGGTAAAACGACGGTACGTTAAAGGGTATTGAAGCCTGTTTTCAAGCGAAAACCATGGAACCACAAGGTGTTGTCGCGTTGTTAGATTAAATCCTGGATTTTGATTCGCGGTTGGTGACGCGCGACAAATATTTTTCTTCGATTATATTAAATTGAATTCAGTAATAGCGGGAATCGCGGAATGAAATTTCTACCGATTACCTAATTGTATTTCGCAGAACCGAACGAGATCTCGCGGAACGCTCTCGATGGGTACATTTGTGTACATACCAGGTATATATGTACACGTTCCACGGAATGCAAATATTTTCTCCGTAAACGGGTCGAATTAAATTCGAAGCGGTCTTGAGATTCAATTTGACCGTTCGACTCGACGAGGAAAAAAGAAAAAAATCGTTACCGTTGAAAATCACTTACCACGCCGATGTTGGACAGCGAGAAAGTCGCGTCGGTTAGGTCGTTCAGGGGTATAGAGGACTTTTTCCCGAGCTCCTGAAGCCTATTTAGCTCTTTCGCGATCTCCAGGATGCTCAGGTTTTGTACGTTTTTAATGTTTGGTACCACCAGACCATCCGGCGTGTCCATGGCCACGCCAATATTATGGCTGTCCAAGACACGTGTCGCCTGGTTCTCTTCGTCAAGCCAAGCGTTCAGCTGTGGCAGTTTTTCTAACGCTCTGGAGGTCGCCTTGATGAAGAATGGCATGAAACTCAAGGCGACACCCTGTTCCTTCAACGTGTCCTTCACTTCATCCCGGTAACCCATTAATTTGTCAACGGTACACTCGTCGCTGTACACGAAGTGCGGTATGCTCTGCAAACAGTTCAATTTATCTCTATATGCAACAAAAGTAATGGTCACTGTTTTCAAGAACCGATCTTATTGGTCGGTGTGGCCATTCATTTTTTTGAGGATCGAACATACTTTCATTCAGTTAAGTTGTAGCGATTCAGCCTTGAAAATCGTGCCCATTACATTTTGTACATTCTACATTACCCCTGTTTTCCGCAGGCTTCCCGTGTAATGGAACATTTACTCGGGGCGTGCAATTAACGAGGGAAAATACGCGGTATGTTTGGACATTATAAATAGCGTGGTATCTGTTGCGACGTTTCAATCACGTCTGGTTCGTCGTGTTTGACGAGGAAAATTCGAATCGATCGTATTATTATCAGTTCAGCTGATGCGACTATCATTGACTTCCGGCTGTGATCGAACTGGGAATGATCGTCGAGAGATATTATATCATAAAAGCCTTCTTTTTTTTCTCTTTCTCTTTTTCCCCCTGTGTTATGATTCAGTTCGCCGCGGCTGAAACGCTGTACGTCACAGTCGTTTAACCGCGGGACCAGTTTGTTCGTCGCGTCATTAACTCTCGCCGCTTCGCCAACGCATTGTTTTATAACCGATTAACCGGTCGTTTATTCAGCAGTTGTGGCCACGTGGGACTCGATAGGCGAAATTCTGTTAATCTTTCAATTTACGCGTGGTCTGCATTTTAAACCGCCATACACGGTTTATTAATATCGCGGGGACAGCAGCCCGCCTGTTACTATCTTTAATTCAATATACAGCACGTGTTGGGAAAGCGTTCCAGTTTTCTTTTTTTTTTTTGTATTATTTAAATTTAAACCAAGTCGACGAATGATACGTTTACCTTTAAATATAAGTCCAGGTTCCGAGCCTCGCAACGAACCATCGTACAGACGACAAACGGGACAATATAATAAAATATATTTCGCTTTTACGATGTTTCTATCGCTGCGTGAACGACTGGAAATCCAACTTACCAAAGATCGCGTCATCGTTTTCCACATATGCTTACTGTAGCCTTTTATCGACACCAGCTTCCCGGCTGTTGGTTTTTCCTCGACCCTATTCCCCGCGGAACCGGCAGAAATTTTTTCCAAGTAAGCCAATATATCCTCTTTAAGCACTCTGCCACCTTTGCCCGTGGCAACGACGTCCTTTAACTTGATATTGTTCTCCATGGCTATCCGCCTGACCGCGGGAGTAGCCAGCGCTTTTTCTAGACCATTTAGCGCCGTGTGTTCCGCACCCTCCTCCACGGGACCGATCTTATTTCCAACCCCTATCGCCTCCGGCCCCGTTTCCCTCTCGATCCTTTCGCCCTCTCCGTTCCCATTATCGTCCTCCAATTCGATGTCCAGCAGCGGATGCCCTATCAGAGCCACGTCGTCCACCTTGTAGCGCAGGGTCTTAATTAATCCGTCGTAACGGCTGGTAATCGTTACGGACGCTTTGTCGCTTTGAACCTCGCAAATGTTATCGAATTGAGACACCCGGTCGCCTGGCTTCACGAACCTGTGCACATTCAAATTCGTCGACTATAGCTCGGTTGTCTTTACGGTACATTACGGTTGAAACACGCTCCCGTCAGCCTCGTATCTAGATAGAACCAGCAACCCGAAAGTTCGTGAAAAACGAGGGAAAATGAAGAATTACAAACGATAATATTTCATATTTAATAATTGCGTTTTTTCTGATTAGATATAAACTTGGGCGTAGCCTAGTAGTTAGTCGAGGGGTGGGGGCAATTTAATTTTTTAATTGCCCGGGGCAAAATGCAATTTTTTTCTTCTAGGTTATGGCACAAACTACTTTTTTCCGTCCAGGGGGAATGCCTGATGGATGATTCCTTCTTTCAGAAGAATGAGAACGCGTCGTTTTAAAGACAGATAGTTTTTTGGTTAAAAAACGATCGATAATTGCAAAGGTATCGCTGGTTTCGACGGTTAACGGAAAATTCATTGTTTTGCTCACCATTCTTTTATCGTGACGTCTCGAATTCCTTCTCCGATATCCGATAGTTTGAAGGGGACGACGGTTCCGCATCGAAAGCAGCTTACGGAGAGGAATCGACATTTTTGATCGCGCACGTTCCTACCCTAAATAAACATGGATTTCTTTGTGTACTAGTCAGCAATAAATCGGAAATTCTTACTCTTGCTCCGAATAATTGTGTGTATATATATATATATTGTTGTGCACATTGTATCGGGGTAGCGTTGAGATGAGGAAATTGATATCGACCGTTGATCCGCATTTTAAATTTCGCGGGTATAACCGTAGGTACGCAGCTAATCTAAACCGAAACATTGAACTCTATTTTAGACATCAATTGCAAGTGTCCTTACGCATTTTAAATGTACTATATTATAATAAATATCTCAAATATGTTAAAAATTATTAAAATGAATACAACAAACGTAGTACTGTACCGTTCAATTTTGTATTTGATTCAAGTGGTACCTGTGGCTGCCATGTTAGTTTTGGAATTCGATTTGTGCTAGTGCGTTAAGTGCGGGGAAGCAAATAACAGAAATTACACGGGTAATTGCTCGAAGATAAACTTCCGAGAAGTCAGCATTAAGGTATTTTGCACCGATTTTGAATAATTTAAATCAATCCCTTAATTAAATCGATCGATTACCAGTGATTTGTTCTTAGGTTTCAGACGGGCGTCAATCTTAATGGAACCGATGGGTGAACCGTTGCTGCCGGTAAGTCATTAAACAATTTCTAACAAAGACTAATATTCTAAAAAGAAATATCATGATTCGTATAAAGTATATAGACACAGTGATCATAACATATTTCGCGTACAATCAGATGAGAAATCGGTCGTAAAACAGGTCTTGTCAATACGCGACCTAGCATTCTCCAAATGACCGTTAAATTTCTCAGTCCCCTGGCGGGATTTTTGAAATCACATATGGCTGGTATTCGTTAACATCATGATATTACTCGACTTACTTGTTGAATACTCGCGAAGTATTTCAACAAAGGTAAACATATCTACAATACAGTATAGTGTATATATATAAATATACACAGTATTACATTTTGTTATACCAAATACATTGAACGGTATGAGAGGTTACAAATTTGTAACAAAAACTACCATATTAATTCATGAACGATAGAAGTAATGGGTACACCGTAATCGACGATTAAATTGTTATTATTCTCTGACAAAAATACCATAAACTATTAAACCGGAGGATCGAAAATCGTGAAAGGGCTTTCTATCGCCACGCCTTCGCTTCTTCGACACAAATACGAGCCCGTCAGCAATTTCATCGTATCGAAACTTTGAAACTGTTAACGCGGTGCAATAACTAATATTCGACCCGGATATTGGTTCTACTCGGAATAGATTCGAAGCAAGAGGGAGAGGTGATCGAATTCGAGGGTTAGCAAGGCACTCAGAACACGCGGCGGTGATTCCGTATCGGATCTCTTTTCCATCGGGGACGCGAAACGCGTAGCACAACACGGTGAAGCTTTGATCGGTTACGCCGCCTGTTAATTTCATTGTCGCGTCGCGCCCCGTGTTTATTGCTTTAGTAATAGTTCCCCTGTCGTATACAATTTGCTTGAGACCACAAAATCGTGTGGTACATATACATCGTAAGATCGGACCTTTTCTCTCTCGATGGAGGGGGGGGGGGTCTGTGTCGCAGCCATAAAGTTCGAATAAACTCGATACGGAGCGAACGATTACAAGGCTGTTACTGGCCAATCGGTCACGTCGACGACGACGATTAAACGCGATACGGTGCATTGAAATACATATACACTTCGCCACGTTTCAATTCACCTCGATCGTTTCCACCTGCGAACTGGAAATTAGACAGGGGAACGAACGCGTTTCGATCCTTTTTGGTCACGTTCACGAGAATACATACATACATACGTTCTGTTGGCTTTAGCAAAACCGTGTGAGAACGTTCCGGAATATTTACTCGACTTTGCTTTTTCCTCTCTCTCTCTCTCTGGCTTATTGAAACCATCGTTTGTTGTTTGCTTAACACACTACCCTGTAGGGCGTTCGAACGTTGGTTATATATGTACACGGTGAAAAGAAAATTCCCGAATAGTTTCGAGTAGCACCGAGATCGTGCGACCGATCTTCTCGACGATCTCCATAGGGTACCACCGCCTAAACGATTAGAAATGGATTGTTCCTCGTGGTTAGTGTCTTACCAAACGGACGAGGGCCGTGAGTCGCCAGGTCATAGCCATGATGGAGAACCGTGACCCCTGGTGTCCAACTGCAACGAATTCTTTTCCCACGGCAAAAAAAAAAAATATAACGGTTGCAGTCGCCGCGGAGTGTATACGGAGAAGAGCTCTTGACACAGAGAACTTACGGCCTTAGCAAGCTGTTGCGTTGTTATCGTTCCGCCTCCGCTGTTATCGAAATCTACACGCAATTCGCGTGTATGTTGCTGCTGCTGCTGGTCCCCGCGGTCCGTTACGCAACGTGTTGCCGCGGCTGTTCGAAAACACATTCGGCTCAGAACGCGATAGATGCCCCCGACTGACGAAAGTGATCGGAATGGCGCACGATTTATCATGAACCACTGTCGTCGTCGTTCGCGACGTTGGCCGCGAGGTTTTCCTTGAAATCGAACGTTCGAACGTGCGCACTGTCTGATCGATCCACGAGATTACGATTCCTAAACAGGGCACAGAATATCACGGGGCAAATAATTTTTAAATCGTTTCTGGAGGTCCGATAATTATTGTATAATGTGTTGCTTTACACAGTGGCAATAGGGAACCTAGTATATGCGTATCTTAACGAATGCAATCTAAAGATTTAAAGAAGTACTGCACTAATAAATGAGTGTAACACCCACGGAGGTTATAATTGCTTTAAATAACAAAATTAAAAAAATAGAGGTCCCATATCGAATACAACTAACCGCAATTTTAATCGTCGCTCTCACCTTGAGCCGTGGTGTGCACATACACAACGATACACAAGCCCGTAATTGTATTTAAATTTAATACACAACCGAATTACGTATGGATATCAAGAGGTCGGTCTGGGAACAACGATTATCGTTAAAAAAAAGGCATTAACCACGACACGATGCTCTCAAGTTTTCTCGCGGTACTCGCACCGGACCCGATGTTTGCCATAGGAAAATGGAATACCCCTCGGTAAGTATTCCGTGTTAACCCCGTTCCGAGCTGGCTATAGAATATTTTCTTTTTTTTTCTTTTTTTTTAGAAGCTCGTCCTCCGCGAAAATTGGGCTTCGCCGTGTGGAATACGGGTCATGAATATTCTTATATGGGTCGTCCGGTAATAAGACGTGCTCGAATGCTAAACCGACCCCCCGCACAATGCCCGCCTCACGTGTATGCACGCGTGTGTGTATATAAAACGGTGACCACGCGCGAGTCAAGTTTATCGCTGTACCCCCTCCCAGTTCGCGAGCAGAAACGATTAAACAAACCCGGTGCTTGAATGGAAAACGTTTCTCCCTGGAAGTGAATGCAAAACGAATTTGCACGTTCGTGATGCTCTTGTACCACTAGAATACAGGAAATCCTCGATGAATGTTCGAAGGTTCTTCTCCCTCTGATGGGGATGCAGGCAATGATCCGCAGAAATGGAAAAAAGACACATATCGCATCCATTATCTGGGAGACACAGAGATGGATATGCACGTCGGTTGTTAAATAATTTCTGCCTTTTTCCGTTCGGTCCGATGACAAAATCCATACGTCGATTCGATGACGCAAGCGTCACATTCCCGTTCATGACTTATGGAACTGTAACCTGATTTCACCGACCGATAAATTAGCAGCGTGAACGGGAATCGAATTATCCCGACGCTTTCGGGTTCCCGCGTCCCGAATAACCGATTCCATACCATCCAGCAGCAGCCCTCGTCGCCGGTTTTGATATCCTCAAAGATAATCGGAGAGGGGGTGTGGGGATTTCGAGACACCGGGCGGACGCAATAATAGAAAAATCGTTAGTTGAGGAATGGTACACGCTCGCGGACTAATAGGATCACGACTCCGTCGACGGGCTGTAATAATAGCCATCGGGCTAAGAATATTGAATTTTCCGTCCCTCGATTTAACACTTCGTGAGACCGTATAGACATACTAATTCCCCGTTTTCCAGCGTGTCCGTTCCGTTTGCGATACGTTCGTTATCCGACCGTGAAAAATACTTTTCAACCGTTTATCGGCCATGTGGAACGTGTCTCGGAACATGTTGGAAACGACGCCAAGTTTTAATCCTGAAATGCTAACCTCGGGTTACCGGCGACTCTGCAAAATTTGAATCTTGTCTACGGCCGTGAAAATAAACAGTACAGTGTTTCTACAGACTCCTCTTGATTATCGTCCCGAACTCGGTTCCGCGCCGGGACAATAATCGAATAGGGAGAAATGCTTCAGACCCTCGTAAATTCATTTTAAGAACCGTAATAGAAATAGATATATGTGGATGGAAATTCTGCTTCTGTATAACTTTTGTAGAAAATAACGGGTTCTTTCAAACTATTCCAAGAACCGAAATCAACATTATAACAGTTTTCAATCCCTGATTTTCAAAGATTCCAACGAAATCGATGTTTCTGTTTAAAATCGATTTTCCTCCTCGCGTATTACGAATTCTGCATATCGGGTGGGGAGATTCGTTAATTTTTCATGTCGTGGATAGATAGGTATATGTAATTAGTGACACGGAGGAGTTTTATTCGGAGTGGATATTTTCGTTTCGTTCTGGATTCTCGTGACGTTGGTAACGGGGTGTTTAATTAAACTTTTCTTTTTTTTTTTTGACAGAGGAGGGGTCGGTACCGGACAGAGTGGAATGGTGTTGGCGGGTCGATAAAAAATTCGAGGGCAGCTTTCTTTCGACGGGGCGAATCTATTTCAATGCTTTCCAGTGTTATAATAAAAGATACAAAGTTACCGTCTGTGTACGATGCTTCGGGTTCACTGTTCACGTGTACACTTCTCGTTCCCCATACGCTTCGACATTCGCGGTTCACACTCTCGTTCACGGCGACGCACGACGAGATTTTTCCTGCGAGCCAATCATTACCCAGGAACGTGGCCGTCGAGGATTACAATTTCAGGCGTATAAAGTACAATAACAATAATCAGAACTCCTTCGATTTATAATTACACGTGAATTATAGAATTTCTTCTAGCACGACGATGCTCTTCACGCGAGCTGGATCATTTAACATCCTCTGTTTTGCTCCTCGAAATCGTTTCGGTATCAAGGTTCATCGCGCGAATTAGTAGAAAAACGTTTCTAGTGTACTCCATTCCACCCAACTTTCCAGGGAAAAATCGAGGACCTTCTTTAAAAGATCCTCACACAGAAACATCGTTTCTTGTCGCGACACCTGTGGATAATCGTTTAACGATACTCCGCTCAACTGCACCCGTCTTGTTCACAGAAATTCACGGCGAACAAAGGCGTTTCTTTCATCTATCGTTTCTAGTTGTAATCTTCGAGGCTCGCAGCGCGTTCCCGTCGTTTACAATCGGTTCGACCGGTCGAGAAAATCGAGGAGGTCCGTACACAAAAGCAGCCCGTGTCGAGTCACTTCTCCAGAGGAACCGAATATTTTCGTTCCAATTAAAGAATCAAACAAATCCGTGGAACGAGAATTTTACTGTCGAGCTCGTGGTAGAGGAACTTTAGAATCCCGTTAATTCGGTTACGCTGGAGATGGGGGCGCGTCTGTAATCGGGAAAATTATATTAACGAGCCGGTGACTTTCGTTACGAACCCCTCGAACGTTAAAACTCTACAAAGGTGTTCGACGTTGGAGTGTCCTGTGTGTGTGTTTGTTACGTGTTCTTTGTTCTTAGGTAAACAAAAAGAAAACTGAAACATTCGTACGTAACGACGAGGTTGATTTTCGTCGTTGCGATCGAACAGGTCGAGCGTGAATCCAGATATTGGTTCGGGCCTGGGTATGATGTTCGCCGTTAAAGCGACTCGTTTATTGTCTGCTGTCGTTCGCGGAAGATGAAGCGTTCATTGAGTTTGCACGTCCCGTGTCCGGCCTAGTTTTTCGCGGAAATATCCACCCGTCGCCATAGTGGGCTGGAAAATCGTTTTTTTTGGTGGCCAAAATTATTTTAACGTTATTTCACGGTTTAAGGTTCTAGTATAGGAGGTCGTTGAATTCGTTTCGACACCAGCTAGAATATTATGAAGTCAAAAATATATATTAACGTTTAAAAAATCGCGGTGACCTGTATTTTTTATAAAAAACTGTTTTTTTTAAAAATTTTTCTATATTGAAAGGTGAATACGGATCAACTTTTGTTGATTATGCGATTTTTAGAATGAGGGGAGGGGAGGGGGTCAGATCGTGGGTCAATAAAAAAAAACACACGTGAATCGATTGCCGTTATTACTCGTAACCGAATCTAATTGTACCGACACGCGGCTCGCGCGACTTTAATCACGTCAATTAATCCGTTCGTTCAGCCAATTAACGACGTAAATGTTTTACAATTCAATTCCGCTTCCGATCATCTCTCTCTCTCTCTCTCTCTCTCTCTCTCTCTCTCTCTCTCATGCTCGTCCTCGATGAGCTCGTTCCTCGATATTTCCGATCGTTGGAGGAAAAAAAGAAAAACGAAACAATTATACTTTTGTGTATACTAACGATTGTACTTGAATATAATATATGTATATACAGATGCGAGCGAAAGGTAACGATATAATTAACAAGAGAAAGGAACAACAAGTATAGCCATACGAATACACGTTCCGTAACAAATCGTTTCCAATAGAGATCATGGTATCGTACGTGTATTAAAAACCACACGTGTACACCTGTATTTCACGTACACGTACATGGCAGTACGTGTCGTTTTAAGTACACAGTTTTAAAATGACGCATACTAACGTGTATCTGTACGTGAAATACACGTGAAAATAGAGATCTCTAGTTTCCAGTCTTCGATCTCAACAGGACCTTCGAACCACCCACGAATCATTTGCCCGGAGAATACCCATTAGTTATGATTTCACGGTATTTCCCCCGCCGGATAGTCACGAGTTCGATACTTATCAGTCCTCTGTGTATCCGTTCCAACAAACTTTCGGCATAATGTCCCCGTGTTCACGAGTCCAGAACTCCATTTCCGTCCGGCGAAATCACGCTGGGGCACTTGTGTCAAAGCTTGCCACCGTATTACCTATTAGTGTACATTTCTGTGTGTGTGTGTTCTATGTGTTCTGTGTATATCGTCCGTATATAATTCACGAAGTAAACGTTAACAAGTAACAATAACGACAACAATGATCGCGATATACGAGACGTGTGATCTCGAAGGCGGTGTCGTCGTCGGACAATAGGCAACCGTAGGCTTTCATTCCACCTCGACAGGAGCGTGTAACATATGTAGTACATACAGTATAGTTCACACACCACCGACTATACACATACATACATACATACCGTGCACACCTGTCACGACGACGCAGGTTGTTCAGTCTCTTGACACCCTTGCGCGCGCGTTCGTTTCCTTTAGCACACACGACACTTTCTAAGCGTATATTTATCTATTATTATACTTTCCAATAGTCTTTCGTGCCGTGTCCCCATAGGATCTACATACCCGACTAATCCTCCTCTATACGTAAATAACTTGGGCTTACCCCAATGTACACAACCATACACACCCCGTCGAGGATTCAACGAGTCTGGCTCGCGTCGAGCATCACTCGAGGAGGTGGGCGATATTCTCGTGATATACAGGGTGTCCTGAAATAATTGTAACTCCCTTGAAAGGGGTGATTCCTGGGGTGATTTTAAACATCTTTTTCCTTAGCGAAAAAGTTCTCCGAGGCTTCGTTCAAGAGATATTAACGAGAAACCCCGACCAATCAGAGCGCGAGTCTGCCGGCTGAACTGCCGCGGTAGCGTTGGCTACGCCCTACGCTTGTACTATGAACAAGCAACTCTGCATGAATCGAAGGAAATTGTTGTAGAATAGTAAATGAAAAATTAGCGAATGAAAATGAAAAGTTCGATTTTATTTGTTACGTCTTTTTTATTTGCTATTCTACATAGTTTTCTTTGATTTATACCGAGTTTTTGTTCATAGTTCAAGCGTAGCGTGTAGCCAACGCTACCGCGGGAGCTTGGCCGATAGACTCGCGCTCTGATTGGTCAGGGTTTTTTGCTAATATCTCGTTAACAAAGCCTCGGAGAACTTTTTCGTTAAGGAAAAGCTTGTTTTAAATCATCCCAGGAATCGCCTGTTTCAAGGACTTACGATTATTTTAGGACACCATGTATACTCTTTGGAAATGTTCCCTTATCGGCCAGCCCCCGTCAGTCCTTTTCTACTTGTGTCCGTGCGCAACATCCCTACCAAAGAGGGAGCGAGCCCGCGCGGAGAATATCCTCTTTTTATTAGGCTTGCAATTTGCAGCGTTCATTCGGCGGACCTTCCGGATGGTCGGTTCTTATCGGCTGGCCGGCTGCCAGGGTTGGTATTCAGAGGGTGTCTCATTTAACCCCGTTTCATTCTAAAATTATTTAAAAAACGACCGAAGAAATACTTTTGTTGTATTATTGTGGGTATATTAGATTATATGTATATGAAAATGATTCACAAGAACATTTAAACATTTTGAAACCGTCTCAATGGCATTTTTCATTCGTTTGTGCCATTTACAATATTTCATAATATTTCTCATTATAATGGTATTATTCATAAGAAAACTCAATTCTTCTTACCTTTGATCGATGAGCCCTCTTAATGTATATGTTTGAAAGTTTAGTTCTGCAGTTTCACCTCGACTTCAAAATAACAAGATACACCGTATACGTATCAGTCTCATAATTTTGAAGTAACGATTTAAGGGACTGACCGATAAAGGGTTAAATGAGACACCTTGTACATCCATGAGCAAACTCGGCTTCCACTAGGGTAAAAAGTGACGTAAGGGAAATACCTTCTACCACATGGTTTCGGAGTTACAGAAATTTATGCCAAATTAACAGTCGGTTTAACATTTATTTTAGCATTTGTCAAGGGGGGCAAAAATATTAACACATCGACTGCCGCAGTGAAAAAGGCTGTACGTAGCCAGACACGGTATATTTTCTTTTTGAAGTTATAAAATGTTGAAAATGTATGCGTTTTATTAAATGAGGCTGTTGCAGATTATACTGCAATATTAAATATTACGCAAAAACTTTGTATCTCTGGGAAGGGAGGGGGAGGGGGGCAAAATTAAATATTTTTTCTTGTAAGGTGGGGCAAAAATCTCTTTTTTCTGTCCAGGGGGGCAAGTACCCCTGTCTCCTGGCTACGCCCAAGGGTCCTTACCCCTACATAACTTTTTCCCCTAGAGGAAGTCGAGTTTGCTCGTCAGTATATCTACTGTAACCATGCGGTGACGAGAATTCACACGATCGACGAGGTGTGTGTGTCTGTACGTGTCTGCACACGCGCCTCTATACCTCCGCGACTTGCTCGTTAGTAGTTTTGCCCGATGTGTTCGACGCCAGGGAGATCTCCGTCACGCCGACGGACGTCTGAACGGCGGCGGTCAGAGCGCTCTGTAGCGGCATACTCTCGCTGGTCAGCTCGCAGCCGGTGTCTGAAAGAAAACGAACCGGATACATCCGGTTTTCCAGTCGATTCACGGACTCGTAGGGGTCAGATAGGGTTAGTCCTAAAGAATACAGGAGTTTCCTCGAGATTAAATTAATCGGTAAAAGAAAGTGTGCGCATATAGTTTACTTTAACACGTTGAGTGCCACAGTGAAAAAGGCCGTACGTAGCCAGACACACGTTATTTTGCTTTTTAAGTCATAAATCGTGGAAAATATATGCGTTCAGTTACTAGAGGTTCTTGGTCTTGTTTTAGATTATACTGCAATATGAATTTTTTGCAAAAATTTTGTAACGATATTTAAATAATTTAGCCTCTTTGAAATGTACCTGTCACCCATATTTGGGTAACGGGCAGTCAAAGTGTTAATCGATTGCCACGGTGATTTTAAGGGGAACATTGAAGCAGAACGTTTCAAGATTAGCGAAACTCCATCGTGGAAACGATTATTTCGCGGTAGGCGCGACGGAAGTGGAACAGTGGGTTTAATCGGGAGTGGAGGGGGGGGGGGAGGGGCGGCTTAAAGTTTCCCCCGGTCGGCACACGGAAATGAAAATTTCCACTATTAGTTCGGGAAGCTTCGACTCGAAGTTCGAAAGAGCAAACACGGTTTATGCCGTTGCGCGCAAAAGTGTACAACTACTTCTCGGACGATATCGTTCGGAGTTAAACTGGTCTAATTGCGCACGGCGCTTTGGGATTCGTGTGGTTCTTGAGAGAATTTTCTCGAGTATTGAAAAAAAGGTAAGAAAACGAACTTGTTGCATTATGTTGCTCGGTGTTGCTTTAATGGACGACACGATTGCAATTTGTTGATTGTATTGAAAAATCGATTAGCCTGTCAGAGATCATGGTTTTGACGGTACGTGTCATTTTACGAGTACAAGTGTATACTACTTCACGTACATTTAAATACACGTGAATTTAGTTCACCCGTATATGAATACATCCTTATTTTAATTCGTGTAATTTTTAGAACATTCATATTAATTTGTGGATCGAGACTATGGTTTCATAAGTTTCGAGATTGTTTGTGCAGCAAATTAAAACGTAAATTTTATTAACAAAATTTATTTAATGAATTGATAAATCATAGTAAAATAAGGATCTATAGTTGATATCAACGCAGAAGAAGAAGATGAAAAAATAAGATACGAAGAGTATAATTCATCCTCCAGGCGATTATTCGTGCGAAAGGGGGTTAAGACGAAACCGAGAATTAAAAAGAAATTGTTATTCCGCACGCTGATGATAGTCGACGGGGCGAACAAGAAACGAGTTCAACCCCTCCTCCACGGTTTTAGTGGGTGGGGGAGTGCCATTGGTGGGTTGAAAAATGTCGATTGTAATTAGCGTTAAGAGGTTTGATCGCGGCTCGATGCCGTGTATATTTCCCCTTGTGCAATATTAACCGCGTGTTTCGGCACCGTCGATAACGAACGGATAATTGGTACGTAGTTAATAATACAAGCCCGGCTGATCGATCACCGGAAGGTGAGCAGAACCTTGGCCTAGCGTCCGATTTCATCCAGTAGTCCGGCAGACGAGTCTTTTATCCTTGAAGTATCCTCCCGCGGCTTGATCGCGTCCCGCGAAATTACGAACCGTACTGGCGAGACACACTGTCGCGTATAAGAATCGATCCCCACGTTCGTGAATTTTTCACCGTTGCTCTCGAGTCCCCTGAAAATTTAATATCTGGGATCCAGATGCAGGAACGGTCTTTGTGATCTCGTTTATATACAGGGTGTAAGAAAAATGTTGGATGACCTGGAAATGGGAGACTCGTGAGGTGATTTGAAACAAGTTTTTCCTTAAGAAAAATGTTGTCTAAAGTTTTGTTAACGAGATATTAACATTTGAAAAACTTGTTTCAAATCACCTCACGAGTCTTCCATTTCCAGGTAAAACTTAAGTATTTCTCTTTCATTCGAAGTGACCCACGTAAAAATAGCGGACAAAATCGAAGGAATCGGTAAGCTAATCGTAAGTAAAAATGGCCCCCGACTACACCATGATCTCTCGATCGTATCCGATGTACATACTCAAATTGGTCCTAATTCAAAAGTTTTGAAAACGCAATCGATAATATCCTGATCGTAAAATCACTCGGATCTCGATGTTACCGCGGAATTACCCGACTATTTTATTTTTTCTTTCACCTCCAAGGAAGTTCCTGTCGAGTCCTTCCGTAACGACGAAATCATATTAACCCGATGACACCTTCAATTTTCCGTCCCATATCGCAGGGCGGAAGTAAAATGAATTTCTTCGATTGCACCGGCACGGAGGTCGGAAGATTAAGCAAGATTCCAATTTAACTTTCGAAGATCGACTGACGGACGTTCTCCAGCCGTAAGAAAGTTTCATATCTGTCCCCCAACGATCCTACCCTCCCCCACCCCCTATGCAAGGGATGCGGGTCTGCGTTTTATCCGCCGAAACTCTCCGAACCCTGGTGAGAGGCAGAGAGATAAACGTTCCAGAATTAATTTAATAATTTAGCTGCAAGCAAGAACAATTCTGGCCATTATCGTTCGCCACGGTAATCCTCCCCCTCCCCTCGTCGCGGTGATTACACACCGTCCGGCTGTGTAACCAGTCCCGTAATTACAATAGGCCGACGGTAATGGGGGGTGAATCGATTTCCATACGGAAATTAGACGAGATCTGATGCGTCTGCCGACAATCGTGGGGCCGCTGTAAGTATTATTGCCGAGAAATATTACGATCGTAGTTCCACGTTATAACCCGAATAGTGGGAAGGGGGGAAGCTGGTTCTCGTCTACGTGCAATTGTCCGTGAAGTTTCACAGAAGGGGGAATGGGAACTTCGGAGCATCGGTGGAACAAGGAAATTAGTGGCACTTTGTGGATTCTACATTCTCCCCTCCCCCTACACCCCCTTTCCCTCTTGGATACGTGCATGGGGACAGAAAGCAGTTGTCGTAGGAACAAATGTTTCCTACGAACTTCTGGTATTAACAACGCGTAGTCGACACAGTTTTTAATCTTTCCAAGGGCACACCTCGAATGGGTTCTCTCTTATTAAAATGGAAATAATCGTTAGAAAATTCAATTCCATTTTCTCGGGAGAGCTAATCGTGTAAGTATGTATGCTGATTGTATCATTCCAGTTATCGCGAGCACGAACGCGCGTGCAGGTTGGATGAAAAGTTATTATCGGAGATAGGAGAGTGTTCACGAATTATGTCAAATACAAAAAAATATTAAAAAATGTCAGGGGTTGGCAAAATATCAAAGTCATAAAGGTATTGGATAACCCTTTAAGAGTACACTCACTCGGCCGAGTAACCAATATTTCACTCAGAGTTGGGCAGAATTTTATTCGAATAATACACCGTGAAAAGCAGTAGTAATGATATTAAATAATCGTTCGACAAATGTCGATCCATTTATAAAGAAGTATTATTTTATGATAAAAAGTGAAAATTTCCACGTTTAAACAATTAAAAATGACGAAATATGTTTTTTTTTATCTTTTATTCGTTATTCGAAACTTTTTATCTAAATAATTAGTTTGCCCATATTAAACTTCACTCGCGGTGAAACCAACGTTATCGAAGTTACGACAATGTTACGAGCCCTTCGAACGACCCTTATTCCACGAAAATAAAGTCACCGATGTGTGTGTTAGCGAGTGCAAAGTGTGGCGTAAAGCGTGTTTCAGGAAGTAATATTAAAGGCGAGCCCTTGATCGCACCTGGGTGAACGCTACTTCGAACGAAGACGTGGTCCACCTTCGCCTCCACTTCGAATCAGCCACGGCACACGATAAAGCCCCCCCTAATAATAATGCCCGGAAATACGCTGACTCGATCACAAATCACGAGGCCAACGAAACACTCCCGTTGAACTCGGCTCGCTGCCAACGCTTTGTATCCCCAAGCCCCACTTTCTGTACACCACCGTCGGTTGGTCTTTCTTTTGTGGTCGGTCGGCCACCGTGTCAACCAATTTGTACGTCATTAGCGGGGAACAACGTGGCAAAGAAGGGAAGGGGGAAGGAAGGGAAGGGGAACAGAGAATTTTCCGGGCACTTGGACGTTGATTCACGGCCGCGTTTAAAGGTGGGGTTCACGGTGTTAACCTGGGCGCAGGTAACGTTTCACGATTCTTGATTTAATTTCATTGTACAGAGGGTGGACCACTGAAACGTTATTGGCTTAGGCTATTCGAAATTTTTGTGAATGCCTGAGCATCAGTGCGGACGTAAATAGAACAAAGCAGTCGTTTCTTATCCGTTCACGCGAGTGTATGTGCAGTTGATGGAGACCATTTTGAACATCGTTTCGATTAAGGTAAATGATATTTTGTTAATGTTTCGCTTGCTTTGATTTTTGTCTCGGTATCTGGTAAATGATGGGCTTATAACAAATGATAGGTTTATTTATAAGAAACTCAAGGTGGCCTTGAAATCTCTGGGAAAAAAGGGTCGACAAAGAAATTTGGTACGATCATCTTAAAGCTCCTCTTGAATCATGTTATACTAGCCAGAAAAATGTTCGATCGAACAGACTAGCTGTTGAATAATCTAAGCTGATCACGTTTCGTGGCCAATCCTGCATACACTGCGTGGCATAACTATAAAACCAACTGAAAAATTTCAATCCTTATGTATCGTGGTTGAAATAACAGCGAACTACCTTTTTCCTAGGTAATATTATCAATCCTTTTTTGGAGAAATATTATTTCTCGACACGATTTCAGACATGGCATATTTGATTTGTTTCTATTTGAATTATAATACGTAAGAATTGATAATTTTAGGGTGGTTTTATAGTTATGCCAGGCAGTGTTTCTCTGTATGAACAAGGGGCAAGTGTTCGACAGGAAAGGAATCTCGAATTTCCGCTTCTTATCGGTTAATAATGTACCTGTTATTTCTTTTGCCCTTTTGTTAGCCTCGTTCTCCGATATCATTAAAATACAGCGTTACCGGGAGGAGAAACGCTCGGAGGATCGGTAGGTACTCGATACTAATTGCCTTCGTTTCTTATCCTTCCGCTCATTATTCCGTCCCGAAAACGATTTATCGTTCGACGATAGTCGGATATAAGAATTCTCCGTTCCGTCGATCGTCTTGTTCGTTTCGAAGATCCCAGTATAATACGATATTCAGAATTTATGAAAGGAGATGACGTAGCCTATTGTTTTACGATGGTGTGTCTAGTCTGTGGAGGCAGATCAGACGTCTCTCAACATCAATACCAGAAATTTCTTTCTTTGTTTCTATAATATACAGGGTGTTCCGCTTAAAAGAGGCTACCTAAATATTTTCTCCTATAAAAATACGACCTCGAGGAACAAAATTTTTGCATATCACAATGTTTGCCCATTCCGATAAAATAATATTTTTCTCTGACATATCGTTCTATCTGCAAAAAGCAAGTACGATACTAGAGGTTCTCGCGTTAGGTGGAAGACCTTGTATATGTACTTCTACTCGATACTCTTTCTTTCACTTTTCTGTGCACCGACACCAAGTGTTTTGTTCCTCGAATAAATAGAAAAACTCTAAAGGTGCATTCGCCCTGTCAGTGTAGACTAATTCCGCGATGAGAGCGACACACGATATATTACGTACTCACACTTGGTAATGGAAGAGGTTCCGGCGCTGCTTCCCTGTTTCTTAAATTTATCCCCCATGGTCACCTTCCGTCGTATGTTCTTGTCTGGCTGGAATAGTATGATGTAGACCTTCGGCGAGTAGAGACAGACCAAAGTGACGGACGCGCTGAGGCTGATCGCAACGCACAGGGTGGTGATCTGGGTCTCGTGGGCGTTTTCGGTGCCGAAGTAGATCGGTACAAACGCCAGCCAGATGATGCACGTGGTGTACATCGTGAAACCGATGAACTTGCTCTCGTTGAAATTCTCCGGGATTTTTCGTGTTTTCACCGCGTATATCGTCGAGATCAGGATCAGAAGCGCGTTGTAGAGCTGCGAGAACAGAAAGCTCATGTCCTGGATGTTGCACTTGAGGATCACCTGTTTACGGTCTGGATAAAAGAATCTGGTGCCTGGGGGCTCGATGATCATCCACACTAACGTCAACACGATCTGGAACAAAGTCTACCGTCGAAAGAATCCCAGAAACTGGGTGATGCAATTACACAGTAAATTATCGATGAGTGCTCGAAGGCTCCACGGCGCCATGTGAGGGTTCAGACGTCATCCCTATCACCGGGTGATTGATTGGGTCCACGGGGTCGCTCTCCAGTGGTGGGGATAACGTCTGAACACTTACAAGGGAAGGACCCCAGGGCAACAAAATCAAGTGAGGGGGACAATAATTTAGCCTCATGGAGCCTTTACTGTACCATCATTTTACAAAAACCCCGTCAATAGTTGGACAGTTCGGGTCCTTCCCTTGTCGGTGGGCCGAGGCGAGCCTTCGAACACTCATCGATGATTTACTGCATCCCCACCAGTATCGAATCGTATTTACCTGCAATGCGATCAGGGCAGCAGCGATGCAGACCTGGGACGCGGGACTAATGTATTTCGGTCGGACAGCGGACCTCGAGGCGGAGTCGAAGATTCTCGCGATCCTATTGGTTTTGGTCAACAGGGCGCCGTATACCGCGCTGAAACTGACCCCGACGCCGAATCGCTGCAGTATACAGGTGACGGTGGTGGGCGTGGCCAGCAATATGAACGTGTTCAGATAACAGACAAGCACGCCGGCCAATAGTATGACCGTGAGCTCGCGGCCCGACGCTTTCACGAGGGGTGTGTCCCGATGATGGAACAAGAGACACGCAACCGCCAGGGTCGCCGCGATACCGAGGCACGAGATCACACCGGGGGCAATCGCGAACGCGCTGTCCCATCTGATGTCGTTGATCGGCAACTGGTAGCAGCCCCTCTTATCCACGTGCGGCCAGAAACCCGGCCCGCAGTCCTCGCAGGTGTACTCGTCGTAAACGTACTCGTACTCCTCGCACTGGTCGCACACCCAGCAACAAGTGTCACCCTGTTGCTTCTTTATCATACCTGGCTCGCAGGGCAACGAGCAAGCGGAGATCGGTATGTCCTTGGTGCCCCTTGCCCAGACCAGTTCCTCGGTACGGATGTCCAGATAGTTGAACCATTTCCCCACCACCTGCCGAGAATGTACATATTATACGTATAATACCTTTGATTGGGCGATTTTGGCTCGTTCGTGTTAACACTGACGAGGTATAAGGCCCACCTAAACTGTAGTACCGATATCTTAAAGAGATTATGATTTTAGCGACCTGTACGTTTTGATAACGGTGAATTTGCGGTGGGTAGTGACACTAAATAATGATTTTAGCGACCTCCAAGGGTTAAGGGAACGGTGGAGTGTAGTTACGGGGCTGGTCCCGACCGAAACAGAAATTTTAGTAGCCTTCGATCGGCCACGGATCTGACAGAAGAGAATGGTCGAGACGCTACGAAAATTTCGCCTCTAGTGGCCCTCGATGTCACTTACACGCTCGCTTTTCTCTCGAAACAATTCTTTTTTTTCGACGCGAACACTTATGAAGTTCGAGAGTCTCGTCGATCGAGTGAGAAAAATTCGATGGGACGGCTCGATTTCCAAATGCGTTACCAACTTCGTCGACTCTCTTGCAGAAATTGCAATTGACATTGTTACTTCTTTCGACACATTGTCCGATTTAAACAATACAGAATAGTGATCCACAACTATTGTCGCGGAATTCACCAAGCATAATCGAATCTCTTGAAAAATAAACGATGAATCTTCCATTTATTACACTCTGTTTGTTAATGTCAAAGCATAGAGAACCGGGTGAATTTCCGTAGACGTACGAACAAACCCACGATATTTTTCACATGGATATATTGAAATACGAGCCAAGGCCCACGTTTGGAACAAACATTAAAAAAAAAAAGATTTCATTCTGTCCGCTATCTGCAAATATACGGGGCGGTTCTCTCTATCTCTACTAGTTTTTTCTTTTTGATTTTATTAATGGCCGACCCAGCGGGAACGACGGCGCAATAAAACTGGCGCTTTTTGACGATTTAAAGTTACCCCGTTCCGGCGGGAAGCGAAACGTCATATTTCATCCCTGTAAGTTGCATCCCCAGGCCCCCCTCCCCTCAAGGGGGCGAACGTGGACGAGACGAAGGTCACGTTGCAATTTATGCCCGCGCGTCGGAGGCCACTTTATCGTTCGAAACGCGAGCGCGCCGACGCCTGCCATTGATTTACGATTTTTTATCGAAAAACAACGGTTAATTGGATACGCGAGCCCCTCACCCCCTCCCCTCTACTGGAGGGATTTCTTGTAAATCCAAGTTTTTTCGTTTCGATGAAATAGGCGTCGAACAGATGCGTCTTCGCAGGACTGTTCCTAGATTGGGTAAAAACAATATCAACCCCCTTATTATTTAATTAAGAATTTGGATTCAATGTCAATTTTATATCTAAATATATCTATATATATATATATATATATTGGACGCAAATACCCGATAACGAAATTAATAACCAAATTAATAACGATCACGAAAAGTGGGCACTCCGCGTGACGTATACAAAAGAAACGATTTTCGTTTGTCTTTATTACCGAAGAACGAACAAAAACAACGAAACCTTGAGTGCTCATCCACCCGGACGGAATATTCGATTAAATCGACGCAATGATTCGGCGGATCGTGCGTGAATAAAATACCGTGAATAAATTCTGTACAACCGAGAATGGAATATTTCTGTGTTTGACGGGTCACGAAAAGAAAAATAACGGGGGTGGGGATAATGAATTTGAATTTTGCAAATCGTTCTATAAGAGCAACACGGGCGTCCAACCTCACGTTTGGTCAGGGATATACCGAAAAAGGATAATTATCTCCTGTTCGTTGGAGAATTTGTAGAATCAAATAATGGGAACTTTTCGTATCGATATTATTCCGTTAGCCGAAGCTACGGGGCCCCTGAAAGAGCCGAAAGCAGTATTCGTTCGTTCGCTTCGCGGAAAGTTTCGCGACGGGTGAGAAAAGGGACGGCTGTGTTTCGTAAGTTCTAATTAACCGCGGAAGGAGAATTGAAGGGGCAGGGGAAAAAGTCAAAAGTACTTTCACTTGCCCGATAGTGGTATCCATTAGACCCGTTCAGGTCCGATTTCCGGAAGTTCAGGATCTCGTACCGCGCCAGCCCATCCCCGTGCTCGTCGAACTTCACCTCGCTGCCAGCAGCGTCTGAAAAATCCAGCAAAAAACAAAAGAAAAGAAAAACAGATCATCTCCGCAAAACCGAGCGGGAAATTTCGTAATTCTATCGCTATATTTCTTCGTACTATCTTAATATATTATGCATTCTTCAGAATTATTCATAATGGGTGTCGCAACGACGTTACGACATTAATTAAACACATTAATTTAATTGTTGTTTTTTACATTTTATTATTTATATCTTCAGAGCTATTAACGACATTAAACATGAAATAAAATGTCGGTTAAATGACCACCGTTGGTCTGGTGGCAGGTATGTATTCTTTGGACGAAATTTCGCAGTACGTTTTGGAGTAAGGGCCGATGGATTTTGCGAAACATTATTTCTCGCCGCTTTGAAATCCATCCCCTTCCCCTCCTCCAACCCCTGTCCCCTCGGCATATTAAATTACAGGGTACGTGCGGTATTTTTTCTCGAGCTAGAGGGGAAAAGAACGAAGTGTGGAGGGGTGGGCAGACACGAATGGGATTCGTTAAATTTACACGGGTGGATTTATGCGCGTAGCCGTGGCCGTTCGTTTGCTTATCGCTCGCTCGGTTCAGTTTTAATATACACATACTCCTCCCCCCGTTTGGGAAATAATTCAACGGAAACGAAAATTATATTTCATTTTGCAGTTTTTTTTTTTTTTTTTTAATACGATCAGTTAGACGCAATATCCCAGGGATAAAAGAACAGAGCCCGTGATTCCCCAAGCCCTGTGGTGTTTCGAGAACTCACGATTTAATTGCACACGACTCTTCAATTTTTCGTTTCACTCTTAGTCGTTGCTGTTCTGTCTTTTCATTTTAATTCGACGTTAAGTCGTTGCTTTTTTTGTTGGCTTTGACATTGAATCGATACTTTTCTTTTTAACTCGACGTTGAGTCGATACGGCACACGGTTTTTATGTGTATGTGTTACATACCCTCTTATCTACTGTAATTTACTTGGACGGGACGGTACATATATTGTCGGACGATTCACAGCGTGTTTGCTGATACAATTTCGGATTCTCTCATTTGTTGTTTTTTCATTTCCTTCTCGATTAAAGAGAGAATCGAGTCTGCTCGGTTAAACTGTCGATGGATCCCTCGTTAATTCGACACGGAAATTTTTCGAATTTCCGACGCGCACGTGTTCCGTATCGATTGTGATACTTTCCGCACGGTTGATGCATTATTCATAAACTTTAGTCGCGAAATAACGGGACATTGAAAAAAAAAAAGACCTCGCGGAACGCTGCGCGCCTTGGTTACACATTCACATGGTTACCATGTGAGCAATTACAGGCAGCTCGTGTCGTTAATAATCGACGATAATCGGTTAAGTTAAATATTCCGATTTACTTATGTATCTTTGTAGACCTATCACCTATTTAAAGTAATATTTCTGTAAATTAATGGGCTTTGTTCCGCGAAAATAAATATTATTATTATTGTAATATTCAGTCCCGATGGGCATTCGAACGCACTCACCGAGGATTTGCTGTACCCAGTAAACGAATAACCAATTAGATTAAAAAAAAAATTATATCCAGATAAAAACAGTCGAACCTGGAATTTTACGAACACAAAATTTTCTATCCACGTCCCAATGTTAATGGATCTGGCGAAAAAGAAACAAAGATCTCAACGTCACCCATGAGATCTCTGGGGTGACCCGACCACCCTTCCAGAACAACCCCAAACGTGTCCGTCAGCCATCTAAACTTTCCCTCCAATGTTCTTCGGAAAAAAAACCGTTCACGATCGTTTTTACGATCACGGAGCGTAATCTTCTGGTGATCCGTTCGGTCCCCGTAAAATTCCGTCAGATCGATCTAAACCGTGGCGGCGACAGTCACCGAAACCGGGCCATTATTTCCTGGTCATTTCGTGGAAATCGCCACCACCGTTCGGTCGGCCGAATCGATAGCACGGATACTGTCCGATTCGATTCGAGATACCGGTCGAAACAGGACACACGTCGCGGGCAGAGATGAAAAAAAACGGATATAAATCTACGGGCTGAGAAATACGTGTTTCGACGTTCTAGGAGAGGTGAGGGTGCTTGTTTAACCCCCTGGCGAATTTAAGGTAGCTTCCGTTTTTGGTATCGTATCTAACTGGAGCTCCATATGACGCTTTATACTTCTTCATTAATTTTACAATTGTAATTTAAACGAATAATATTTTAAACTACTTTAAAATACTTAAATGGAATATTGAAAAATAAGTGGAAAAAATAAAAATTTGTGTACTTAGTTTTCACTGTCACTGTATATCGTCGGAGAGCAGCCTGTAATGGAATTTCGGACGTTGGGTCAGAGTGACCCCCTCGTATTCGTTCATAGCTGTCGCAACCCTTACGAATTCGCCGTTACGGAGGCTTAATTTTCGATTCCCGTATCGGCGTATACTCGTTCGGAGATTCACCATAAACCGCGCGATCGGTAGCTCGTCGGCCTTGCAAATCGGGGGTGGAAAAAACAGTGGCATCGGACTGCACATTTAGGATCGATACAGCACGATCCCCGTGGTGATACACCCCTTCCTGCTCCGCCCCTTCATCGTCCCACATTTTTTCTCCCTTTCGCGTTTTTCCCGCTCTTCGACGACCCCCTCCCTCGAATCGTGGTGCCTCGCCTGGCCTCGGACGAGTTTCGACTCAAACCTTTTTAATGGGTTTGTCTTTATCGCGGCCGGAAAGCACGAGGCTAAACAAAAAAAAAAAAAGAAATCCGTTCTCAGTGCTTTCTCGTCGGGGATCCTCGCGCAAACCTCGAGTTCCGAACGGTGGGCAATCGGTAGCTTTCGTCGAAACGGTTCATTTCTCTCCTGGCAGAGAGAACCGAAAGTTCGTTCCACGGCTGAAATCTGCGGTATTCAAGGTCCAATACAACGATGGAAAGCGTTCTGTTTTTTGTCTCGAGTTTCACGGAGGGAATCTGCGAGTTCAGGGGGTGGTTTTTTCATGGATCTTTTTCCGTTTAGAGGGTAGATTTCGGGAGTAGCACCGTCATTCGGGTACGCTGGTGTTTTGATAAATGAAAAGGATTTTCCTACCACTTTTCTCATCCTCTCTATCCGAACGAGAAACGAATAGAAGGGTGTGCAAAATGTATGGAACTAATTGTTGAATTACTCGTTACTGATTTCAGAGACTGTTCCCGAAGCTCTTCGTGTTTTTTTAAAAACACCTTCCTATCGCTAGGTATTCGATACACAAGCTATCGTTCAGATAAAAAAAAGTTTTTCCACCCAATTACAATTTTTCCAAACATATTCCTCATATATCATTTAGTAAATCAATCCTACCTTCACAAGAAAGCTCAATTGCCTCGGTACAATGTTGAAAAAGTTCTGTTTTAAAGGCTCTGTAAATAATTATATACCCACCGTACATCCAACATCCCTACCCCCCATAAACAAACCAAAACCACCGGCAATATCAACGTCAGAGATTAATCCGTTCGCCTACAGCGCAGAGAGACGCGTCTCTGAAACCGTTCCCGAAACCCCGTTACCCACGAATTAGCCCCCTACGTTCAAAGCTTATCCCCCCTGTCCCCGTGAGCAACCGTTGGGACCGTGTAAAATTTCATATTGCCCGCGAAACGGGTTCGTCGATCCCCAACGGGCGAATGTCTCCGTTTCATCGGCCGTCGTTTATCGTCCCCATTCCCTTCCCCCATTCGGGGGACGGTAGGATATTATCGTTCGCGTCATAACGTCGAATCGCGCGTTTATTGCATGCTGCACCGTCGTGGCTCGATAGCGATAGATAGAGGATCGGTCGGAAAAAGATTTTCTACAGAGACGCTGAAATACGCTCCCTTCATCCCCGTCGCAGACCCGCCCCGAAATATTAAATTCCGCTTTTGAAAGCTTTTCCACCCGCCTCTATTCACCCCCCCCCCCCCCATGCGACGCAAAGTCCGTCGATTTTCGCGCACATATCCCTCTGGAGATTGTGGAGGGCGAGCGCAAACGCGTACACAGCGTCCACCACGAATTGCACCTTCGATTCCTGCTCGTAACCGGTCGCGGCGGTCAGACGGAGCTTCGACGAGCACATGGTCGAGTTCAGATTCGCCTGGCTTCTCTTCAGCACGCAACCGAACACCTCCTCCCAGTACTCGCCGAACCACGGATTCCTGCGATTACCGTCCGGCGTTAACGAGGCCATGTAATCGTCGAAACCTGGTATATTTTCCGATTGCAGCTCGACCGTGATCGCACCCTCGGCCTCCTCCTCGAGACCCTCGACGAGCTTGCTCTGACGGCCCCAACCGTCGCTGGCCAGCCATTGAAAAGGCTGGCTGAGATTCGAACGTCTAGCAGCCTCGAGGATACCTCGGGCATCCTCGGCTCGTGTGAACAACACCACCGCCCGAGCGTTCGGTTTCTTGCTCAAACGTTGGATTATGTCGTCGAAGACACGATCGTCCGCGGCACTCGGCACCTTCAATGCCGCAGCTATGCACACGTTCCTCTCCGTCGCCTCTCTGGTGAACACCTCGATACCGTACTCCCCATAGCTGCCCTCGGAGTACACGGTGGACACGTACGACCAGTTCGCGCTCTTCACCACGTCCACGAGCGCGATCGATTGGAACGTGTCCGGCGGCACTGTTCTCGCGAAGTAGTCGAACCTGGGAACAACATCGAGGGAGGGAGGAATTTTTGTGGGGGGAGTTCGTTAAAAGAATCGAGGAATTCACCGGTCCGGACGCAGTGGAGGTGTACTGGAGCGAGCTTTGTTCGGAGACGACTGAAAGAATTTTGTAATCGGCGCTGGTACCCTCACTAGCAAACTCGGCTTCCAGGGGAACAAGTGGCGTGGAAGAAAAGTCTCCTACCACTTAGTAAATTTATTTCAAGTACTGACTTAAAGGTTAAATCGAATGTTAATTTGATATAAATTTCAATAATTCCTGATACCAAGTGGTAGGAGGTCCTTTCTCTACGTCGTTTTCTCCCCTAGTGGAAGCCGAGTTTGCTCGTGGGTGTTACTTTTGTTTTCATCTGGGTCGCGAAAAGATTAAAGAAATATTCGAACTGTAATATTGCAAAGAGTATCCGATGTTGAGCTCTTGTACATTGGAACACATCTAATGATATCTACCGATCTGAATTGATAGTTTATCCTGCATGTATCCATATATTGTTTCTCCGAGCAAAACCATAGCTCGATCTACCTAAAGTAATCGTATACAAAACCTGGTCTTGTCGCTGAGCGCCTTGGCGGTGGACGCTGGCGAGATCTGGGGTATATGGAAGAGCCTCAACAAATTCGCCACCTGCAGAGACACCGAGCTGTACGATCCCCCGATCACACCGAATATTGGGCCAGCCGTGACGGTCTTCTTCACCTTGGGCACAGATCGGTCTGCGCATTCCAGCACGCTCACGTCCAGATTCGACAGGGACGCCCTGACGAAGTGCAGGCTCTGATTCAACGCGTACGTGTCCCTGCCGCAGGTGTCCAGAATATGCACCCCTAACGTGATCCCTGGCAGTATACCCTTGTCCCCATTGATCTGATCGATCGCGAACAGCATCGCCTCGAGACGTTGAACGCCTCGATTGTAGACGTTCGGTCCGCACGACGAGCTGCCCTTCTCGTGGACCGGAAACAGACCCCCGAGAACGATGTCGCCGGGGATCAGAACCGATTCCCGTTCGCTGTGCATCTTCGAATGCGACACCATCGAGCACTGGTGAAGCGACACCAGGAGGACCAGCATCCGGCCGAGAGGGTGGCTCATTTTAGCCGTTTGGATAGGCTACGTTTCCTACGAAGATCGCATTTTATTATACGGCGCTTCTCTTCTCGCTCGACGTCAGCCCGATGAGGTAGTTTCTGGATTCAAACGGTGTCCTTATCCTCGCCGGGGGTGTCTTTAAAGTCGTTCGGTCGACCTGGTATCGGTGTCTGATTTGAATTTAATAGCTTCTATCCCACCGAGTTGCGCTCTGTCCTCCGATACCATCAGGATCAGATGTTCCTTTTTTCAACGCCCCACTTCTTGGAGTACCTCGTAGTTCGGTTACTTTAATGTCAGGTCAGTCGATCAGGTGGGATGGGTGTCGGTGTCTGAGCGGAATTTAATAGCCCCCCTTCGGTAACAGCGTCACACTATCTCGATAGTTTCAGATTCTTCTACGTGTTCGGATCCACGGTCTTCTTTTTTGGAGTCTCGAAGTCTTCAGGTTTTCTTCCAAGTCGATCGCGAGTATTAGTGCCAGGAGGGAAGGGGGTGGGATGGTAGAACCTTCTTCGAATCGAGTTTCAAGCTTCCCCTGCAGCGACTTAAGGTTCTTCGGGTACGTGTGGCGGGAGTAGCCTTTTTTTGGATTGTAATAAAGTGTCCTTTTTAAAGTCGATCAGTCGACTAGACCGCGGCTCAACCGTTCCGTATAGAATGCTTCCTACCACAGTGTTACATACACACGCTGTTCTTTAGAACTTCGAGGCTCGGTTCCCTTTCTCGGGAAGCTTCCGATAAAGGTCTCTTTTAAAGTTTCCCCCGCCTACTGTGGATTAAATCTACTTCCAGTCGCCTAAGGCGAACTGTTTTAGGAAAGGATAATCGGATTCGATCCGCGTAGAAAAAAATTTTTAACGTATTAGGCTCCCTGTAACCTAATTCGAAGTGGATTATTTTTCACACCAGTTTAACCGAAACCGTACAATCGTCCTTTGCACTGCACTTGTTTAACTGAATATCCTCGATTTATTTTTCTTATTTCACTGAATATCCTGGCGTTTTCCTTATTGAACCGAATATCCTTGCTTTTTATTAGGCCATAACGTTCACGCCGATGGCGCATTGATCACAGAACACGATTCCTCTTCGTACGCTGCTAAACGTCCACGGTACTTTTTGCTCGGTGCTTCCAAGCCGTAGATCCAAAAGCTCCCCCAGGGTTGATCTCCCTCGATCTCCACCTAACGTTCGCGCAAGAAATCGCGAGATATTAATGCGTCGGAATTCGACGGAAATCGGGAAAAATTTCCGGAGCGCACGTTTTTATCGATCGTGAATGCAGGACCAAAGTTGTCGTCGAGGCGACCGGAAGCACGCCATTTCCCTCAAAAAAAAAAAAAAAAAAAATTTCCGCTTCGT